AAAAATATTTTCAAATCCTGCCCCTTTTATTTTCTATTGATGTGGGCCTCAGTCATATAGTGCTCCTCATTTTATTCATCTGGTAATCATATGGGTTTGCCTGTGCCCTTGACCTTTGCAAATACTGTAAACTGACATTTCACACTAGATATTATGAATGACAATATGCATGGGAAAACAAACTAAGCCCACAGCTTTGAGATAGGCATGTTGCCAATGTACCAATATTTTATACAGGACTCAACAGTAACTACAGGTTGACATCTCTTCTCAATACAACACACATTACATTTTTATTCCTGATTAACAGTGATGTTCTCTATTGGGAAGTGGAACGTAATTCTTCCTCCGTAAGCCATGCATGTCATAAGAGGCGACTAAAATGCTGGAAGCAAGGGGCTAGTAGCCCCTCCTGTATACATTACTAAAGTCAAAAAGAGAAACTTTCATTTTTCTTTTTGGGCAACCCTGCTTCGGTGAGATACGGCTTGTGTGTTGAATGAAGAACGAAGTGATATTCAGTACCAACAAGATGATGAATTACACACACACATGCAACATTTGGGTACTGCGACTTGTATACAAGCAAAGACACCCAGATGTTGCACATTTGTCTAATTCATCATTTTCATTCCCGATAATCAAGCATGTTTAAATTTGTCCAAGTATAGAATATTACATCTATAGATTAAACATTTCTAGTTTCAGAATCAGTTAAGGTCTAAAGCAGTTTTTGTCTTATAGCCAGTTCAGCTTTAGCAACAGATGGATCTCCAGTTCTTCCCACCTTGATGGCTGTCAGTATACCACAGCTTAATTAAACCCACTGAATGGTGCCCTCAGTTTAATATGAAAATTTATAACTAAAGAATACATTCTCCAGCTCCTTAACTTATTGTAAATGCAATTCTCTTCCTCAATCAATATGCCCATTGACTATAATTTACCTATGTTCGAACATTACTAATTATGTCTTTAAAAAAAGGATGGGAGGGGGGGGAAAATTGTTAGGCAAAACCTTTTTTCTTTCTGGAAAAGGGGTTGTGAATGTATTACAACTTATGCTACTTACTTTTTGCCCCTAATACTTACTAATAACAAGTAATATAGTTAATTATTACAATTCGTACCAAAATACTTACGCACCAATCTTTCTGTAAAACAAATTACACATTTCTTATGTACAAATTGTATTTGCTATTTAAACTTTACCGGGAATGACAATGCTCTCCCACGGGAAAAAACATTTTAATCCATCCCCAAAATTTTTAAATTTTTAAAGCACTGCAATTTGCAATTATATCATCAACATTGTTGCCAAAAATGAAAAATGGGTTCTTGCTCCCTCACTTCCACATTTTGTCAAGAAAAAGGATGCATTAATTTACACATTCTTTAAGAAGTTGAATGTGACACATAAAATGTTACATACTAAAAACCCCCTTCATTGTAAATTGGATCTTCAGTGGTTTTCATAACCCATCAAAAAATTTCATTCCCTTTTAAATTTCCTGGATTCTTTATGTTCCATTCATTACATGTGCTGGCACTTGAAGGTGTCACGCTTCACAAGCCACATGCTTAATTTAAAACGAAAGCAAAATTTATCTTATTAATTTTTAAAAACTACCATACATGATTTTTGAAAACCTGTTACACCCGATGCTAAAGGGCTTTCTACACGCTGGTTTTTAAATATTTTAACTTTTTTTAAAATTTCAAGTTACAAAGTTTAAGATACCCAACTATCTTGCTGAAATGCTTGTATCTTTTTTCACTGGACTTTGGGAAAATTTTTGCAAAATGTCACAGACTCTTTTTGAGTCGTTTGGGGAGAAATCATTCACTGACAAAACTTTTGTCAGTGAAAGATTTCTCTTTTTTTTTTTTTTTTATATATACCAGGTTTACAAAGGGTTTGGACCCCGCTTTATTTACAAACATTTACAGGTTAAGGGGTTCCAACTTTTTTTGCAAGCAAAGCTGTTACCTACATCAGCTCATTTTAAAGCATTTTTATTTTTAGAGAATACAAGAGGGAACAGGGTGAAGTTGGAGCCATCGTGGGGAGCATTTTCATTTATCAATGACTATCTCGTGACATCATTTTGTGTCGAATGTGTTCCATATCGAGTCATCCCGGGATGTATGATCTCAATGGAGGGTTTCTGGGGAAGGGGGACACCAGAGTGAAGTTGCTGCTTTCTGCCCCCCTTTGTGGCATAAAACTTGTTTCACGCTGTCCTCAAATGGGTCCAAGTGGGTATTTTGACAAAAATTTGGCCTTTTAATAACAGAAGGCTACCCACACCCTCCTATGTTGAAGGCTCTGCTGAAATGACAGATCATCCAGGGGGGGCCAGGCGAGATTGGACGTCTTTCTCTGTTCTCTACTTGTAAAGCAGTCCAGATGAGGGGGGGGGGGGGAGGCAAACCAAGAAAGTGGAGCATACTCAAGGTGGCGTATTTGTGCCTCGTACAGATCTTGCAACCCCCTACTGTCAAGCAGATGCAAAATATGGCGAAGTGCTGTAATTTCCCTGGCTGCCTTTTTGCAAGTTTTACAACAGGGTTTTCTGGTTAGTTTGGAGTAAAAATTTCCCCCAAGGATATAAACTTCTTTCAGGTCCCAACACCCTCCCATTCATCCTTACTATGCCCCAGCATTACCATCATGGTCCCTAGAGACGATCATCATTTGCGTTTTCTCGGTGAAAAATTTCTTGCCATCTATTTCCCCAAACGAAATAGCTCTCGCGGGTGATGATGTAGCTTAGAGCACCTGGCATTTCTTTTCTTGGATAAATGAATGTCCGGTACATCGTTGCATATGCATGTGATTCTGGGGTGAGATGAAGAAGGTCGTTGAAGTAGACATTCCATAACAATGGACCCAGCACGCTTCCTTGTGGAACACTTGCCCCAATAGGGTGTCTTGCTGATTCGTTCCTTGGAACACATTAGGACTACATGAAGGGAAAAACTGAGGGACAAGGTAGAGCCCCAATTTCCCCGTTTTTGAAATTTTTTAGAGGCCCTGGTCCCACCCGGGTTTAAAGCACCAGCAATGTCCAGTGCTACCACACAGCTGACTTTGGATTCATCCAGTGACTGGTGCCCTCCAACTGACTTCTCTGTCAGTGAAAGCACATCTGTTTTTTAGAGCTTATGATCCAGATGATCATACCGTCACTCTTGAATATAAACTTCAGTATTTCTCCCCTTTATTACTGTTTTGCATTTTGGCTTTGGGATGCGACACTTCTTAATCCATGAAACAACAGGTGCTCAAGAATAACAAAATCCTAAATTTATTTTATTTTTAACATACATGCCAGAGGCACATCATCATTACAGTGCAGATGCCCCTCCAAACTGTAAAATCCCAACCCCCTCCTTCAGAATACAAGTACTACCCTTCCCACCTCCAGGACTCAAGTTTGGATAACTCGTTTTCCCTGAATCCCTTCATAAATGGTATCTTGCTCACACAAACAGCACCAAGTCACTATCTATTGCACACACCAGCCTGCTGGTTACACCTAAAGCCTCCTATACCCCTCCCTCCATTTCCTGGGATGACCCCAGCCCCTCATTCCCTCCATCCTAGGTTTATACACCTTCCTAGCATCCAATTGTGCTCCATCCTAACAATCCCTCCTCAGTCCTCTAAATAATACTTTTGGTAACCTCCACACCATATAACCTCCAAGATCTGAATTCTCTGCATAATATTCACACCACACATTGTCCTCAAATGCAAAGTCTCCACTGCCTCTAACCACCACCTCACTATAATGTTTAAAAGCCATACTTTACACCAAATGAACAGTGTTGGCACCATTATACTCTGGTACACTCCTCTTTTAACCTCGATTGTTGAAGTTCTTTGTCTCTGTAGATGCTTCAAAATCATCACCCACCTTCCCTCCTTCCCCACCCCCTTTGTCAATTCTATGGTTCACCACATCTTTCAGATCCATCCACTGGTCCACTTCCAAATATCTAAATGCATGTACTTCCTCCACTTTGATATCCAATTTTTCAATGCCTAGGTTTTTTTTTGTTTTCCTCATCACCTTGTTCTTTCCTATGTTAGCTTTTCATTTCCTTGTATATACCCACCCAAATTCCTCTACCAACCTTTGCAATTTCTCTTCAGACCCTCCCAAAAGAACTGTCTTAACAAAGAGCACCTGTAACAACTCTCACTTTGTATCAGGTCTAACCTTTATTGATCCTATCCCTCCCCAACACCCTAACATTCACTTCTTCTACAACACCATCTATATAAGTAAGTTAAACAACCATGGTGACATCACACATTCCTGTCCAAGTTTTACACTCACTGGGAAATAGTCATCCCCCCTCCCTCTACATACCCTAATCTGAACCTCACTATGTCTATAGAAACTAACTTCTTTTAGTAGCCTACCTCCTATTCTATATATTTGCAACATCTGACACATGGCTTCCCTATCCACCCTAGGTTAAGTGCATAATTATTTATGGTGTTAAGGGTGTGTACAAAATCATGATGAGTTTTGGTATTGTAATTTATACCACAGACTTGTCTGCATTTTTTACCATTTTATTTTAATTTTCATTAACTAATTTACTATTAATTCAAAATTATCATAATTAGGGTATGTATAAATTTAAAGTGTGTACACAAATTATGGATTGAAAATCTTCAAGAGAAGTAAAACCAATGACTGTTACAGTACTAGTTACTTTTAGACTGCAAATAAATCAGAAATTATGTCTAATTCAGACTTTGTAGGGAACATTAACTGTCAGCATTCACTCAAACATCTGAACTACTGGGCATGTCTTAAAACCAGGAGTAATGGTTAAAAATACAGGAATTATGAATTACTTCGGAATATGAAATGAAGCATGGCAAAGTGTTCAAGTAGCTCCAATAAAAAGTAGGCATGCGATTAATATGCCAAGACAAAAAACACAGGTCTCTGTAGGTGTTATGCATCAAAAGTCCAGGGCAGTTTAATACTTCCCTACAAGTACAAGGAAAATTACTAACATACTCCTAGTAGTTTTCAAGGGAATTGAGTTTCTCTTTCCAGAAAATCACTGAACTCTGACTTAGCTGACCATTATGGTAAATGGCAAGCAACCTTACATACTGTACAAAACAATATTGTTGTGCACTTTCTCACCTCATGTATATTTCATGTCTAATAGTTGCAGTAAACTTTTTCACCAAACACCATGCTGCTGCTGTGGCAAAAAGTATATTGTAACCCAACACTATCCAGAAGTTGCCCAGCCAACTGATCTTACCAAAGTCTCCCAGCAAGTCAAAATTTGTGATCCCTGGGGATATAAAAATAGTTATTAAATCACTATCATAGAACAATGTACATGCTGCTGATAATAAAAACTGATAAGGCAATCAAGGAAAAGCCACACACCTTTCATCACTAAGCGACAACATAGCCAAATTATGTTTGGAAGCTGAAATGTCCCTCACTCATGAAAAACATGGAGGAATTGTGAAGGAATCCAATGCCAACCCTACATATATAAAGCCAGTATGTTAACCACTACATATTCATTAGTAAAAAATGTAAAGCTATTTTCAGTCTATCAATAGTAATAGGGGATCTAGTCCTCAATGCACCAAATCACTTTCTACAAAATTTCATACACCAACTCTCATGAAAGGTAAAATATGATAAGACCCAACATTTTTGTAAATAAATATTTATCACACTATGTACAGTTACATAATTACTGCTAAGTAGCAACATTTGTGCTCATGTATACTATACATCAGTCTTATCCCAAACTACAGAAGATGTCATATTATCTTCTCAATTTTGATGTAAACTCTGTGCTCAATTTATACTTTCTTCAGTGTAAACCATCAATATAATGAACAGGGAAAGAGGGGATTGTCCGAGTCTGTCAAATCAGAATAATGTTAAAAATAAAAATAAAAAAAATAAAAAATAAAAAAAATGCACTTAAGCACTACTATATACCTAATACACTAAACATAATTTACAATTATATTTCAATAAACATAGAAAAAGAAATTAGAAGTACAATTTACCCAGTGATTTTTGCCCATTATTTTAAAAGTATTATATCAAGGTCCATTATATCAAGGGTTTACTTTACTTTGCTCTATGTTATTTATAATAATTATTATTCCCAGTTTTGCAATGTAAATCCTATATTAGCTTTAATTATAAGTTTTTTTTTTTTTTTTTTTTTCAACAAGTCGGCCGTCTCCCACCGAGGCAGGGTGACCCAAAAAAGAAAGAAATACAGTGCTATTAATTCACTAATTATTTGATGTAAATAAAGTATAAGATTAAAAGGTATATTAATGACAACACTATGGATGTGAAGCTTGGCATTTGATTTTTGCAGACTTGTCAAATAACATCATTCAAAAAACTGGATCTAGGAGGAAAAAAAAATTACTGGGCCACAAAGTTAAACAGACAATCAAAGACATCCATATGGTCAGAAAATGTGTGGAGTATTTGAAGGGGATTCTGCTTATTTTTGCTAATCCCAGTGCTCACAAAATTATCCAACTGAGCCAACTAAAATACAAACCTTTTAAGAGAATACAGAAGTACAAACAGATTAAAGCCAAACAGAAGACATTCTTTAGTTACTGCAGCAAACCAAAGATGAAAGACTCTGAAAACAACTGTACAGTACAGGATATCCTGTCTATGTAAGGATACCTAAAATTTATTCTCCCAATGACACCTAGAGAACTACACTTTTCAACTACAATACAAAGCTTCATTTTACAAAAATACACAACTGGTTTAAGTTTCAAATACTTTACTGTACATAAATGCAATGAGGCATCCTTAACAAAAACCCATAGATATATTCTACTTCTTTTGTTTTTTTTAACAAGTCGGCCGTCTCCCACCGAGGCAGGGTGACCCAAAAAGAAATTCCCCAAAAAGAAAATACTTTCATCATTCAACACTTTCACCTCACTCACACATAATCACTGTTTTTGCAGAGGTGCTCAGAACACAACAGTTTAGAAGCATGTACATATAAAGATACACAACATATCCCTCCAAACTGCTAATATCGCGAACCCCTCCTTTAGAGTGCAGGCATTGTACTTCCCATTTCCAGGACTCAAGTCCGGCTAAATAAAAATAACCGGTTTCCCTGAATCCCTTCACTAAATATCACCCTGCTCACACTCCAACAGATCGTCAGGTCCCAAATACCATTCGTCTCCATTCACTCCTATGGAACACACTCATGCACGCTTGCTGGAAGTCCAAGTCCCTCGCCCACAAAACCTCCCTTACCCCTTCCTTCCAACCTTTTCGAGGACGACCCCTACCCCGCCTTCCTTCCCCTACAGATTTATACGCTCTCCATGTCATTTTACTTTGATCCATTCTCTCTAAATGACCAAACCACCTCAACAACCCCTCTTCAGCCCTCAAATACTTTTATTAACTCCACACCTTCTCCTAATTTCCATACTCCAAATTTTCTGTGAAGTGAAATACAAGTCATTACATTATAACTTAAATCCATAGAATTCTTCCTCCATAAGCCATGTGTGTCATAAGAGGTAACTAAAATGCCAGGAGCAAGGGGACAGTAACCCCTCCTCCAGCCATGTTCCTCTGTGGGATAGAGCCGATTCATTGAAAGAAAAAAAATCCACATATTGTACACCTTTTCAGCACCAACATTTAACCATTCACTTACCTAGCGTTCTAGCCAGAAGTGGCAAAGCACTAGAAAGAATCAGTATGACGACACAGTTGGCAATGACATGCACCATGGGTGTGTCTCGTGGCTTGGGACGGATCTTGGCTATAACAGGCAAGGAATAGCAACCCAGTAGGGATGCAGCAATCAGGTACAAGATGAGTACAACCTCTAAGACAGCACCAACAGGCCCCAGCACAAACAGAAGCACTGTCCTCTGCAAATAATATAATGTATGGCACTAACTTGCATGAAAAAAATATAGTAGTAAGAAGAGTACCCTATATTTTGCCCTCACACTGACAGTTTTCAGAAGCTGGGAAAATTATACTGGAGGGCCTCGTATGAGGCCGATATACAGTATGCAATAACTCTCACCTCCATTCTGCGTTTGAACGTAATGCATATAGTTAGCTACTAATGAATAAAGTATTATTTATAATGCATTAAGAAAAATAAATGACTCGCCATACCACCAAGAGGTTACTGAGGCACTGTGCTAACGTGAAACTCCATTAGATATCAGTGTATATTGAAATACAGGTTTTATCACCATTATTACGAAAAGATGTTAACAGCAATAAACTGAACAGTAGTAGTGTAGTGATGCAATTGTTAATACTGTAATAAGGAACAGTAAAACATAGATCTGAAAGCCAAGGTTTTATAGCTGTTCAAGAAGGTAGTGATTAGGGTTACTGCATCCCTGGGTTGTGTCGTGGGAAAAGTGAGTGGTGGCATGTCAACAAATGGACATTAGAGAACATCATGTTTATTAAATCTACGGATTTGTCCAATCTCTTCCACACACGAGAGCTTATCACAGGCATAACATGAACAAACAAAACATCAGTGTATATGGTGAACTACTAATGGAGGAAAAATATTACTTATAACTCAGCTTTAAAATAATTATTTATTAAATCTAACATTAATTTCTCACACGTGTAAAATGAGCACACATGAAATATTAATGTACAGTACAGTGGACCCTCGAATTTAGTAGTGCCTTTTCTGTATGCAAAACTATTTTTATCTATAAAATATATGTTTCGTTAATATTTCCCATAGGAAATAATGTAAATCCAATTAAACCATTCCAGACACCCAAAAATATTAACAAAAAATACATTTTATAGATAATAAAAATAGTTTTGTATACAGAAACGGCACTACTAAATTCGAGGGTCCACTGTATTTGGTATAAAAACTAAAAACTAAAAATGCTAATAGTATTCATAATTCAGCTTTAACAAAATTGTGTTTATTAAATCAACAATTCTCAACCAATCTCTACTAACAATCAATGAGCCTTCCAAACATGCATAAATAAAAAAATGCAAAACATGAATGCATTTGATGAAAAAATGCCAATTTTTTTCCAACGCCAGCCATCTCCTACTGACAGAGGGTGACCTAACAAAGAAAACACTTCCACTGTTGCTCACTGAATCACCGTTTTACCAGCTCGTAGCTGCTTAGCATCTTTGGCTCAACCGAATGATCTAGTTTCAGTCTTGTAGACACTGGACTTGTTTTCTTGCACCCGTTGCCCCCTCTACACCTAGCAGTAACTAGGCACCCGAGTGCTAGCCAACAGATGCGGATTGCATCATTGGGGTTTGTAGTACATCTTATATTTAATTAGGATTTAAATGAGTTGAAGCAAGAAAATAGTTCAATGAATTCAAGAGGAAATGAACGAGTCACCTTTCCTTGTTGAGCTTCTCCCAATATGGCTGGTGCTGAAGCCAGTGGCAGGGCCTTGATACCAACAAGTAACTGCAAAGTGTTGAGGCCCACTATGACAACGGCTGTACCAGTGAGTGCTAGCAGCAATAGTAGTGCAAGTGGATATGCTAAAGTGCGCTGAAATATTCCTGCACGACGACGCTCTTCTGCAAAAGACAGTGTACTGGTAATATCTACAGCATCTGTGTTCATGTACATAATTTCAATCTCTATACTGTAACAAAGATTCCTACATTTATAAACAGAATCTTTCCACTAGCAAACATCCTCATAGGGTAAATTATAACAAGAATAACCAAATAGTAAACCCTTTTACAATCCAAAATCACAGTGCCCTTTTTTGCAATTCAAAATATACTAACAAAATTTCATGTGCTAAAAATTCTATATAGTACATACTGTACCAGAAAAAATGAAAAAATCAGCATTAGCATTAAGTTCCGAGCAAAAATCTGGGTTCATTACCACGTACGTGCTGTGGGGTCCCCCCTCCCTCTTCCTTCCTCTGATTCAAGTTATCCCTAAGGGTCAAGTGTTTGGAGCAGCACAACTCTTACCCAGCTGTCACCAACAGTGGCTTTCTAGGAGCATTACCCACTTTATGTAATGTTACTGTTTTATCTATTTTCAACAGAATTTTTTTTACTATACTGTGCAGTCGAATTTTAAAACTCGTTAAATTCTGAAAGCTAACAGCCTCCAAGTGCATTTATTAAGGTTACATTCTCTTACTATTGCATTTTTTAGTGTAATTACTGACACCAACCAAAATGCACAACTAAGGATATTGTATTTAGTAAAAAAAAAAAAAAAAAAAAAAAGAATTCAACAAACGTACCAAGTTTAACTCTCGTTTTCTTTACAGCATAATATTGATGCAAAATGTCCTCTGCAGTTGGAGTATTAGAGATAGAGCGAGTGATAGGCCTGGCATGAGGCTGGGAGGGACGTGCTAACTGCCGAGCCAGGGCATCTTCCTGAAGTACTGTAGCTTGGTACTCTTCTGCCAAGTCTCTTAGGAATCCAGGTTTTACCATAAGTCGTCCCATGGCAGTAAACAAGTGAGCCAGCCCAACAGGTGTACACACTGAAGAATATATACCAAATACATTAATTTTAAGTGTAGATATATATATATATATATATATATATATATATATATATATTCTTTCTTTCAACACACCGGCCGTATCCCACCGAGGCGGGGTGGCCCAAAAGGAAAAACGAAAGTTTCTCCTTTTACATTTAGTAATATATACAGGAGAAGAGGTTACTAGCCCCTTGCTCCCGGCATTTTAGTTGCCTCTTACAACACGCATGGCTTACGGAGGAAGAATTCTGTTCCACTTCCCCATGGAGATAAGAGGAAATAAACAAGAATAAGAACTAGAAAGAAAATAGAAGAAAACCCAGAGGGGTGTGTATATATGTGCTTGTACATGTATGTGTAGTGTGACCTAAGTGTAAGTAGAAGTAGCAAGACGTACCTGAAATCTTGCATGTTCATGAGACAGAAAAAGGACACCAGCAATCCTACCATCATGTTAAAACAATTACAGGCTTTCGTTTTACACTCACCTGGCAGGATGGTAGTACCTCCCTGGGCGGTTGCTGTCTACCAACCTACTACCTAGGATATATATATTATAGATTATATATATATATATATATATATATATATATATATATATTATATATATATATATATATATATATATATATATATAATATATATATATATATATATATAACACACCACACACACACACACACACACACACACACACACACACACACACACACACACACACACACACACACACACACACGTACGTACGTTCACCTCCTCCATACTCTCTCCCTCCAATCTGATATTCAATCTTTCATCACCTAATTGATGAAAGATTGAATATCAGATTGGAAGGAGAGAGTATGGAGGAGGTGAACGTATTCAGATATTTGGGAGTGGACGTGTCAGCAGATGGGTCTATGAAAGATGAGGTGAATCATAGAATTGATGAGGGAAAAAGAGTGAGTGGTGCACTTAGGAGTCTGTGGAGACAAAGAACTTTGTCCTTGGAGGCAAAGAGGGGAATGTATGAGAGTATAGTTTTACCAACGCTCTTATATGGGTGTGAAGCATGGGTGATGAATGTTGCAGCGAGGAGAAGGCTGGAGGCAGTGGAGATGTCATGTCTGAGGGCAATGTGTGGTGTGAATATAATGCAGAGAATTCGTAGTTTGGAAGTTAGGAGGAGGTGCGGGATTACCAAAACTGTTATCCAGAGGGCTGAGGAAGGGTTGTTGAGGTGGTTCGGACATGTAGAGAGAATGGAGCGAAACAGAGTGACTTCAAGAGTGTATCAGTCTGTAGTGGAAGGAAGGCGGGGTAGGGGTCAGCCTAGGAAAGGTTGGAGGGAGGGGGTAAAGGAGGTTTTGTGTACGAGGGGCTTGGACTTTCAGCAGGCATGTGTGAGCATGTTTGATAGGAGTGAATGGAGACAAATGGTTTTTAATACTTGACGTGCTGTTGGAGTGTGAGCAAAGTAACATTTATGAAGGGGTTCAGGGAAACCGGCAGGCCGGACTTGAGTCCTGGAGATGGGAAGTACAGTGCCTGCACTCTGAAGGAGGGGTGTTAATGTTGCAGTTTAAAAACTGTAGTGTAAAGCACCCTTCTGGCAAGACAGTGATGGAGTGAATGATGGTGAAAGTTTTTCTTTTTCGGGCCACCCTGCCTTGGTGGGAATCGGCCAGTGTGATAATAAAAAATAATATATATAATATATATATATATATATATATATATATATATATATATATATATATAATATATATATCTGTAGATACAGTTACAAAGCAAAGCTGCAAATATTAAAAAATTTCCTTACTGGTTGACAGGATGAAAAAACAAGACATCATAAAAAGCAATCATAAAAGAATATGAACAAAGAGTTGAGAAGACTTCCTAGCACAATCAAGAAGGAGAATACAAGGCCACAATTGTAAACCAAGAAAAAAGGCAACATATTTTTGGTTTATGCTGTATTAATAAATACTATGCCAGCACATTTAAAATTCTTCCTCAAACTAAGCAATTCACCTTGCTCAAAATCTCTCAACATCCCTTTTGAGAGAGTAATGGTCAGTTAAGTAACAATGGGATGGCAAGTTTAATCCATAATATCAGGAAATAGCAGGAAATGTGGTGGTACTTACAGAGGAGCATGAGGACCCCCAAACACGAGATGAGAGAATATAGAAACGGCAAGTAAAAGCTTCCCCACACATCTGTAACAAAAGAATATATACATTATTTTGAAAATTTCCTAAGTTATTAGAATTTATATATATATATATATATATATATATATATATATATATATATATATATATATATATATATATATATATATATATATATATATAAGTTTGCCAAATCAGAGTTTTAGGTGAATTTGAATGTGCAACATTTTTTTTCATTCATCTATTTGAAAAGGCAGAGAGATGCTTTACAATATTAATTACCAAGTGGCTGTCTTCAAGAAGGCACTGGACAGGCACCTAAAGTCAGTACCTGACCAACCCGGCTGTGGTTCGTACGTCAGCTTGCATGCGGCCAGCAGTAACAGCCTGGTTGATCAGTCCCTGATCCACCATGAGGCCTGGTCTCAGACCGGGCCACGGGGGCGTTGACCCCCAAAACCCTTTCCAGGTAAACATAAAACACCAGACAAAAAAAAAACGGGTAACAGAGAAGCCAGTCTAACAATTAGCAAGTAAAGTTGTTTACTCCCCTCATATGAGGGGAATAAAACGTAAGAAATTACTAATTATTTTTGTTACGCAAATCAATTTTACCGGCTAAGAGCTGTATCCTACCTCAGCTCATATTAAAGCCCAGCCCCCCATGTAAGGTATACTACCACCCCCTGGTTGCGACCCACACCAGTTGGTTAACACCCTGGTACCTACTTGCTGCTAGGTGAACAGGGACTGCCGGTGTAAGTTAACACGTCCAATGTTTCCACCCGTACCAGGGATCGAACCGTGGACACTATCAGAGAACTGAGTGCGCTACCAACCAAGCTACGGAACACCCACTTATTTCAGCCTGACAGCAAAGCCCTCTCTCATGGTGTATATACCGAGACGTATCTAACGGAGTACACAATATACATGTGCATCTTGGAGGATATATACACCAAGATGTTACTTTAATCGCTATTTTAGGGATAATGAATACTTTATAACAACAAAAGTCCAGGTGAATTATGGCCTAACAACTGGTGAGCATTTAATATGATCACAGTTATATTCATGGAAAAGACTACACTTGCAGTGTAGAGCACTGCACAGCAGAGGGGAGGAGATAGAGGGGCAGGAGCCATAGGAGGGGGAGAGACGGACGACATAATTTATTACTATATTCCTAGGGAAGCGCTAAACCCTTGGGGATTATAGAGCACCTTAGTAATGAGACTGAATGAGAGGATCTCAGGTGCTGCACATATTGTCCTGACAAACATGCACACTTTTTAGCAGCTGATTATATCTACCAACCCACAAGTTAACATGCTGAGGGAGAGAGAGAGAGATGCAGCGGCAAAGAGATGGACAAGGTGGAGAGATGATGTTTGATGGATAAACATCAGATGAGCGCATCATGAGTTAAAAAAGTAACTTTCAAAAGACAAATTTCTCGCCATCTTCCCCAAAATATTCATAATTCGGCTAATTTCATCACCATTTTTTAAATATTATTTATTTCTTGAATATGTACATTTCACTGCTTCCCATTATACAATTATTATTATTATAATCAAGGGGGAAGCGCTAAACCCGGAGGATTATACAGCGCCTGGGGGGGGGATGTGGAAGGCATTCAGGCTTAATTCGGGGAACTGGAGCACAGATCCAATTCCCTAAATCAAGAGCCCCTCACCAACATCAAGGAACCTTCCTTGAGGGGCCCATTATACAAGATGGGCATTATCTATGCGGACAGTATAAATCACTTAATAGATGTTCTATCACACCCAACATTATATTTTTAATGTTAACTGTTTAAATTTAACGGAACATGTAGCATCAGCATTAAACAAAAAATATACCTGCTCACTGTCAACTGTTTGTTCATTATAACCGTTACTGTTGTCATAATATTTACACTACCGTACATACAAAGTAATATTTTTATGTAGCCGAATTGCTGGGTATTTAGATTCGCTAGGCCAACACAACGGCTTTCACCAATTTCCTCAGGGAAAATTGATCATATCAGCATTCTTGTGACCCATTTAAATCTATTATATATTCATATTCACTGAGTAAAACCTACTGAAACCCAAAGTTGTAAATACCAATAATGTGCATGTTAACAGACATTCTTGTAAAAGTGGAGGGGAGCAGAGGTCATAATATGAACTTAAGTTGAGCTTCCCTATATAATGCTCACACGCACACCCGCATTATGTTTAGCAAACAAATAAGCCTTTTAAACTAAATGAAAAAGGGTACCATGAAGATAGCTGTACTCAGCCCATCCTCTTAATAAACGTCTGTACATTACTTAAAAAAAAAAAAAAAAAAAAAAACTTCAAATGTGTGACGTTGACAAATGGTGATTGTTGACGTGCCTGAGTGCAGGTCTGTTTTCTGTTCGAGTTTCAGATTTCGTCTATGTAATACGTATTGCCTTATTTGGCATTAAGGTATGTTAAAACTGGTTTATTTTTTGAATACAAGGCAATCTAACCACACCAAACCTAACTCGATTAATTAACGTACATAAACTAATTTGATTCAAACCATAAACGATAAATGTATGTTACATGCCAGACCTGTGTTGATTATATATATTTAATGAAACAAATAATAAAGAATTTAAAACCAAACAATACATTGGTATATTTAGTTATTTGGGCACGGCACATCTAAAGCTGTCTAACTTCTTTATCGAAAATGAATGAAGAATCAACTGAAAATAAAGGGGGATTCTGATCGAGTGGAAACGTCTAATTATTATAATCAAAAAGAAGCGCTAAACCACAAGGGCTATACAGCGGAAAAGTTAGTAACACTATTTCGGAGATGACAAGAACCTTCAACTTGCTGTCCAGAACAGGGCGTCGTATTTATGGTTCACTTCACCACACACCAGCGGACGTGGCCTTCGCCTTGAACCTGCCATCGAGGCGGTGACAGTCAAATACTGGAGTGGTGATAACATTCGACTTCCAGTCACAAGGTCCAGGGTTCTATTCCCACACACGGCATGGTGTATGGGCAATTTTTTTTTTTTAAGGTGTTCATTACCTTGCCGATCGTTGCCGTCTCATCCAAGAAAAAAATGCTGTGCAATGTATTAGGAAACGCAAGTGCTGGGTAAAATGTGTACGTAATGTTAAACAAAACAAACGATACTCCTATTGTTCAACGTTGCAAACCAATCACACCCCACAAGGGAGGTTCCTTGACGCTGGTGAGGGGCTCTTGATCTAGGGAATTAGATCTGTGCTCCAGTTCCCTGAACTGAGCCTGAATACCTTTCATCCTCCCCCTACAGGCGCTGTATAATCCCTACGGGTTTAGCGCTCCACTAATAATAATAATAAAACCAATCACACCACAAAATCATAGTACAAAGTGTATTCACTCTTCACGATGTTACTATACTGCCTCAACACAGTGCATTCCTGAAGGCCCCACAAAATGACAGCACTCCACTACACACTCCAGGCTAAGATGATAACACTGAGTATAAGCCATAGAATAACTTCTACACCACTCTATTGAATAATACTTGGCATGTTTTGTACTGGTATTTTTAAGGTGTTTGAACTCCCCTGATAAGCTGATTAATACTTTACAACGTTTGAGTCCGTTCTGGCAAAAATTAAGTGGCGACGGAGATGGTCACAACCAGTACAGGACAGGTCTACTAAACCTTTCAAGATTTATTTTCGATTTCTAGGTTAGCTGTGAATTACTCCAGCTTTGGTACTGTGACTAACTCATGCATAATGTGTCAAATTTTACAGACGTTAAAGGTGACTAGCAGTCAAACGTATGATATTTTACACTATTACTACACAGTCTACAGCTGTGAGATAACTTAAAGGTACACCTACAAGGGTGCCAATATAACATTGCTGACATCCCTTAATCGTATTCTACATCTTATCTGCAGTTTGGAGACAACAGTATTTTACAAATACGACCACTGTGAGCATAAGCGTACGGAGTGGTGTGCGTGCGTGCGGTCCTCCCTACCTACTTCCTGAGGCCGAGAGGAAATGGGATGATTATATTCACGGAAAAGAAAATGATAGGATGGATAGTGAGAACTTTCAAAACGAGAGATGCCAAGCCCATGATGATCCTTTTCAAATCACTTGTTCTCTCTAGGCTAGAATACTGCTGTACATTAACATCTCCATTCAAAGCAGGTGAAATCGCAGATCTAGAGAGCGTACAGAGATCCTTTACTGCACGTATAAGTTCTGTCAAGCACCTTAACTACTGGGAACGCTTGGAAGCACTTGACTTGTACTCGTTGGAACGCAGGAGGGAGAGATATATCATAATCTACACTTTGAAAATCTTGGAAGGAATGGTCCCAAATCTGCACACAGAAATCACTCCCTACGAAAGTAAAAGACTGGGCAGGCGATGCAAAATGCCCCCAATAAAAAGTAGGGGCGCCATTGGTACACTAAGGGAAAACACCATAAGTGTCCGGGGCCCAAAACTGTTTAACAGCCTCCCATCAAGCATTAGGGGAATTGCCAATAAACCCCTGGCTGCCTTCAAGAGAGAGCTGGACAGATACCTAAAGTCAATGCCGGATCAGCCGGGCTGTGGCTCGTACGTTGGACTGCGTGTGGCCAGCAGTAACAGCCTAGTTGATCAGGCCCTGATCCACCGGGAGGCCTGGTCATGGACCGGGCCGCGGGGGCGTTGATCCCCGGAATAACCTCCAGGTAAAAGTGCAAAGCCCATCCGGGTTGTACAGCACCTGAGAAATGAGGCAATCAGGTTCGACCCCAAGGTAGGTCTCCTTAATTGAAAAACGAGCCCATTTCCTCACTGCGCCCTTGTCATTAGGGCTGGCCCCGCCATAGGACTATGTGAAGAGATTCGCCGTGCCCTTGTCATTGGGTTGTAAACGATACATCACTCTTAGAAACTCAGACACTACTCCTTCGGAAGCCACTGCCGGATCACCACATGGAGAAGACCCGGACCAGGACCCGTCCTAGCTAACCTACATGAACATGAAGGAACACGAGCCCACTTCCTCCACTTGCCTTGAGGTGCCGAGAAAGTGGGCGAGACAGGAGGAGAGCTTCCTCACCTCAGTCGCTGACCGCACGTCATACTGATCGCTCCTGCTACACACAACCACACATTTCAATCCTGCCTACATACACTACCAAACAAACATATGGATCCAAAATATATTAAAAACAAGCTGTAGAACCATACAAGTCATACAGATATATACCTAGACTTCACAAAATTACATTTCTACGTACTAGATAAAAGCAAATTTACATGTATACAAACAAGTTTTCTTCAATGAGCTGAAATTCCGCATCAACCTCGCCACCCACAAGTACTGAATATCTGGACCTCGCCATCATACTACAAAGGTAAGGTAATTTTGGTAACTTTCACTATGTTCTACCATACTACAATAAACGCTGTACAAATCTGTATTTTCTAACAAATTCCGCATGAACAACTACGTATATTCAAGTGTTGTTCACTACCTAATATTACGTATATACAGTACACAAGACAGTGTAGGGTTCTATCGTATCTCCGGTTCCGCGGCTCCTACTCCCCGTGGCGTGGTTCCTCTTGGTGGCCTGGTTCCTACCCCCGGCACGGTGTACTTGCATCACCAGTACTGTGGCTCATATCCCCAGTACTGTGTACTGGTCATCACTCTGGCAATGATTTTCCCACGTTTGTTAACAGTTTAAGACATCAACAATGCCTCACTATATACAGTGCATTTTTTCATACAAGACATATTTCATGGTTCAATATACGTACTTATGGATGGGGTTGTAAGAGAGGTGAATGCTCGAGCGCTGGCAAGAGGTGTGGGGTTACAGGATATAAGAATCTAACACAAAGTGGGAGTCGTCAGAGTTGCTCTTTGTTGACGACACTGCTTTTGGGAGATTCTGAAGAGAAGTTGCAGAGGTTTGTGGATGAGTTTGGTAGAGTATGTAAAAGAAGAAAATTAAAAGGGAATATAGGAAAGAGTAAGGTGATGAGGATAAAAATTAGGTGACGAAAGATTGGATATCAGATTGGAGGGAGAGAGTATGGAGGAGGTGAATGTATTCAGATATTTAGGAGTGGACATGTCAGCAGATGGGGCTATGAAAGATGAGGTGAATCATAGAATTGATGAGGGAAAAAAGGCAAGTGGTGCACTTACGAGTCTGTGGAGACAAAGAACTTCGTCCATGGAAGCAAAGAGGGGAATGTATGAGAGTATAGCTGCAACAAAACTCTTATATGGGTGTGAAGCATGGGTAGCGAGTGTTGCAACTAGGCGGCTAGAGGCAGTGGAGATGTCATGTCTAAGAGCAATGTGTGGTGTTAATATAATGCAGAGAATTCGTAGATGGGAAATTAGGAAGCAGCGTGGGGATTACCAAAACTATTATCCAGAAGGCTGAGGAGGGGTTGTTGAGGTGGTTTGGACATGTAGAGAGGTTGGATTATTATAATCAAAAAGAAGCGCTAAGCCACAAGGGCTATACAGCGCTGCAGGGCAGGAAGGAAGCGAGGGCATCAGGTGGCAAAAGGGAGGTGGACGAGTAATAGGTTACGGATAACAGCGGAGCAGTGGATGGTGAAAGGGTAAAGGGCAGCAAGAGACTGAGCTAGAAAGGGCTGAGGGGAGTGCATAAGGTATCATCATCAGAGTTTGTGGAGTAAATCAGTCGTTGTCAAGAAGTCAATGAGAGAGTCAGGATTAAAGGAGGGTCCATCAGCAAGAAGGGAAGGTAAAGAGAGAGTAGTAGAACGAAGACGGCGTTGGAGGTAAATTCTGCGTGCTCGTTGATAGAGAGGGCAGTCTAACAGAATGTGGCTAATCGATACTGGAACTTGACACTGCTCACAGAGAGGTACAGGGTGCCTCTCCATGAGATACCCGTGAGTAAGACGAGTGTGGCCAATGCGAAGACGGGAGAGAGTGGTCTCCCAACCACGGCACTGATGACAAGAAGACGGCCAGTAACCTATGCTCGGTTTAATAGAATGAAGTTTGTTACCAAGCAGAGTTGACCAACGTTGTTGCCAACGGGCGCGAAGGTGGGCAGCTATTGTAGCAAAATAGTCCAGAAATGGAACACCTCTATAGGAAATTGGTAGGTCATGTACTGCTGACCGCGCAGCAGTGTCTGCCTGTTCATTGCCCTGTACGTCAACATGACCAGGGACCCAACAAAAAATAATATCTTTATGCTTCGTAGAGATACGGCGTAGCCAAAGTTGGATACGGAGAACTAGGGGATGAGATGTATCAAATTTTCATATAGCCTGTAGAGCACTAAGGGAGTCTGAGACTACTACAAATGATGACACAGGCATAGATGCGATACGAATAAGTGCTGCAAGAATGGCATACAGTTCAGCAGTAAAAATGCTAGCTGAAGATAGTAAATGCCCCCGCACGACGCTGTCCGGAAACACTGCTGCGAATCCGACGCCGTCTGAAGACTTAGAGCCATCTGTATACACAGCGGTGGCATGAGAATGGGAGTGGAAGTGATCAAGAAAAAGAGCGGGAAGCCACCATAGGCAGTTGAGCTTTCGAGCAAGGGAGTGAGAAAGAACAGACCCAAACAGCTGGAACTTCCCAGGGGGGTAGGGAAAAGTGAGATGCTTCATGAACATATAAAGGTGGTAACTGAAAGGAAGACAAGAGTGAATGTAGGCGAAGAGAAAAGGGATGGAGCAAACAGGGGCGGCGAACGAATAAAGAATGTCTACTAATATCGGTGACCATTCTATAAATGGAAGGATTGTGTAGATCATGAGAGTGTACATAGTAGCGAAGGCAATGGGCATCACGGCGATCAGACAAGGATGGAACATTCGCTTCTGCATAGAGGCTCTCAACAGGGGAAGAGCGAAAAGCACCAAGGCACAAACATAATCCTTGGTGATGGATAGAGTCAAGGCTAGAGAGAGTAGCAGGAGAGGCCGCGGAATAAATCTGGTCACCATAATCGAGTTTCAATAAAACGAGGGCTGAATGTAGGCGAAGCAGAGTTCGACGATCAGCTAACCAGGAAAGATGAGCAAGGGTTTTAAGACGGTTTAGCCGGCTATGACAAGTTGCCTTCAGAGAGGTAATGTGAGGTTTCCAGGATAACCTACGGTCAAAGAGAAGGCCTAGAAACCTGACTATCACGTTCGGGGATACGGGAGCCATAGAGATACAAAGGATGATCGGAGATAACAGAGCGTCTAGTGAAAGTAATTTGGCGAGTTTTGGTGCTTGAAAATTTAAACCCATGCGTGGTGGCCCAAGTGGAAACACGCTCGACCGCATGCTGGAGAGAAACTGCAATAAGATGACAGTCAGCGCCTGCACAAGCAATAGCGAAGTCATCAACAGAGTGATGACCAAATATTGGGTGAAAGAACAGAGGCCAAATCATTTATAGCAAGGAGAAAAAGTGTTGTGCTTAGAACACATCCCTGAGGGACACCTTCAGCTTGGACGAAGTCCGGGGAAAGAACATTATTGACTCGAACACGGAAATGTCTGTCAGTTAGAAAGTTCTTAAGGAAGGATGGTAGATTGCCTCGGAGGCCTAAGGAATGGGCCTGGGCCAAAATATTATACCTCCAAGTTGTGTCATATGCCTTCTCAAGGTCAAAAAATATGGCAATAACTGAGTGATTATTCGCAAAGGCATTACGAACATACGTATCCAAGCGTAGTAAGGGGTCTATGGTAGAATGACCCTTACGAAAGCCATATTGACTAGCGGAGAGACTGTTGTGTGTCTCTAAATACCACATTAAACGTCGATTTACGAGACGTTCCATCACTTTGCAAACTGCACTAGTAAGAGCGATGGGACGATAGTGGGAGGCATCATGTCCTGTAGTACCTGGTTTGCGGAAAGGGAGAACAATGGCAGATTTCCACAGCTGGGGAAGAACTCCTTGTGCCCAAATAAGATTGAAGAGGTGTAAGAGGACTACAAGGGCTGACCGATGTAAATGTTGTAACATACAAATATGAATGTCGTCAGGCCCAGCTGCCGATGATCGGCAAGCTGAGAGCATTGCCTCTAGTTCTTGAAGTGTAAAAGGCACATTATACTGTTCTTCTCTGAGAGAAGAAAAGTCCAAAGGGTACTAACTCTCTGGCAGACTTTGAGGAAAGAAACGAGGGGCATAGATGGAGCCCTCGGGAAATACGGACCAGATGTGTGCCAAGTTCAATGGCAACGTCGAGAGGGTTTGCTACATCAACACCAGCGACCCGTAGAACAGGAGCCGGGTCAGGAGAGTATTTACCACTCAATTTCCTCACTTTTTTCCAGACTGCACTCATAGAAGAAGCAGAGGTGATGGTGGAAACATAGTCTCGCCAACAAGTGCGTTTAGCTTCATGGATGACACGGCGAGCGATCGCACGCTTCTGCTTAAAATCAGTAAGTCTCTCAGTGGTTCTATTGTACCGGTACCTGCCCCATGCAGCGCGTTTCAAATGTACTGCACGAGCACAAGCAGGAGACCACCAAGGCACTCACTTCTGAGAATGCCTGCCTGAGGTTTGGGGTATAGAATGAGAAGCTGCGGTATAAACTGATGTCGAGAAGATGTGTACTAGCTCATCAATGGAGGATGAAGAAGGAACCTCACGAAAAGCAGTGAGGTGTGAGTAAAGATCCCAATTTGCCCGATCAACTTGCCAGCGAGGGCTACGGAAAGGTGGTGAATAGGAAGGAGAAGTAAGAATGATCGGAAAATGATCGCTGTCATGTAAGTCCGGTAGAACAGACCAGGTGAAGTCTAGTGCAGTGGAGGAAGAGCAGACTGATAGATTGATGCAAGAGAGAGTATGAGTACGAGGATCAAAATGGGTGGGAGTACCCGTATTTAAAACATGGAGGGGGTGAGAGGCGAGAAAAGCCTCCAACTGGATGCCACGTGAGTCACAATGAGACCCCCCCCCCAGAGGAAATGGTGGGCATTAAAATCACCAAGTAACAGAAGTGGTGGTGGTAAGGATGAAACAAGAAAGGTAAAGTCTGGGATAAAAAATGCTCGAGAAGGAGAGAGATATAAAGAACATATTGTAAACCACTTATTCAAGTGGATACGGGCTGCAGTGTAATGCAGCAAGGTATGGACAAATAGTTGACAGTACAGAATATCATTGCGTAGAAGAAGGGCACTTTCATTAAAGGTCCCATCTGAGAAAGGATCCGAAGAATACAATAAATTATAGCCTGAGATAGGTTGGAAAACAGCCGAGTGTAATTTTGGTTCTTGTAAGCAAGCACCAACAGGGGAAAACCTGGAAAGCAACATCTGAAGCTCACCCAGATTACCCCTGAGGCCGCGGATATTCCACTGTAAATAGGCCATGATTGACGATGAAGAAAATACCAGGAATCTGTAGGTAAAGGCACCTACGGACTAGAGGGGTTAGAAAAGTCAACGTGTGGTGGCATTGGAAGACGTTCAAGTAGCGAAGGAACGGAGCGGTGCGAAGAATGGGGTTGTGAAGATGGAGGAGAGGGAAGAGAAGAAACAGGAAGTGAATCAGTGTCCATTGAAGGTTTAGTCTCTGCAATATATTCTGAAATGGCTTCAAGTGTTTCTGAATTCAAAGATGTATGGGAGACCATATTGGAGATAGAAGGAGGAGGGTGAGTAAAGATTGGGACAGTAATGGACTGTACCAAAGTAGAGGGGGAGGGAAGAGTGTAAGGGACTGGAGATGAAGTGTGGGGGTTGACAGAAGAGGCAGAAACCTGGGAGGTGGCAGAAGAGGGAGAAACTTGGGAGGGGACGGGGGTGGAAGGCATAGTACGAGGAGGAGGGTGAATCTCCACACTAGTAATAGAGCCAGAGAGAGGGGAAGAACTAGGTACAGAGACTGGAAAGGTAAAGTGTGGAGGTGGAAGAAGGGAAGGAAGGGCAAAGAAGATTTGAGCAATGTGGATTTTTTGGACTTCTGAGAAGTAGAGGGGCGATTGGTATTAGGTGTCATACGAGGTCTTGTCGATACTGGGGCTTGTGAGGAAGGACGCGAAGATGTGAGAACAGACTGAGTTGTAGTCGGGACGTCAGAGCCAAGGACAGCAAAAGGATTAGATGCCAGAGTGGCTATGGGAGGGGTAACAACAGAGGAGGCTCCAGAAGATGGGACCCCAGAAGTGGGGGGATGTTTGGAAACACGAGAATAAGAAACACGGGGTAGTCTCCCTTGGAGGCGGAGATGAGTAACTGCCATAGCATAAGGGAGACCTTCTGCCTCTGAGGCAACGGATTTCACTTTCATTTAAGTAGACCTGGCAACGGCGGGAGTACGAAGGGTGAGCTTCATTACAATTAAGGCAAGATGGAGGTTGACTGCAAGATGTATTAGAATGGTCGTCGGCACCACAGACTGGGCATTCGGCCATAGATCTGCAATATTTCGCTGGGTGACCAAAACGCCAGCAATTTCTACATTGTTGCGGTGTAGGTATCACCTTTCGAACTTGTAACCGATGTCCCGCGACATACACAGAGGACGGGAGTTCTCGGCTGTCAAAAGTTAAACGAGCCACATTGCAAGGGTAATGTCTCCGCCCCCGGGCAGGAAGGACATAAGTGTCTACTTTGAGGATTGGGAGATCCTGGAGTTCCAGCTGTTCAAAAATGTCATTGCCACATGACTGGAAATTCTGTTGGACTATGGTATGGGGCAGAATGACAGTACCACTACAAGAATTGAGAGAGAGATGTTTTTCAATAGTGATAGGAGTAGTATCGATATTCGAAAGGATAGAAAGATCATGAGCTTGGGTAGCATTCTGGACAGTGACGATGCGCATACCGCTCAAGAGCATGAAATGAAATATCTCTACCAACATGACGCAGGAGCGCTTTGCCAATACTAGGAGAGCGGAGTTCAGACAAATCGAAGGAGTCAGTCGAAGCCCCGGTACCTGAAGCGGGTGAGGAAACAGCACCAGCAAGAGGTACAGGGGCATCAGGAGTGTCCGAAGAGTGGTCTAAACACAGGGCAGGGTCAGAATGGGGTGCAGTATCAAGAAGGGGCCCGGGGGTAGTGGGTTCATGGATTGGGTTCTCCATGGTTAGGTTACTCCTTTGCTTTTTGTTTTTAAGAAAAAAAAGAAAGAAAAGAAAATAAAAATAAAAAAATAAAAAAAGGGGGGAGCGGGGAGGAATAGTTCCCAGGAGGAATGAAAGGGCCGGAAATCTCCCTCCGCGCCCAAGAGGACCTCAGCACCGCTAGTAGCGCAGATGCAGCATGGAACCCGTGCCATACCCTACCCTTCATGCCAGTAAACCAGCAATCCGGGATAGCAACCTCACATCTACCAAGCTACCTCGGTGGACAAAAGAGAGGGCGGCCGGATATCCGCCACAAAGCATACCTCCTTCGGCCCCCACCCCCAGAATCCGAAAGGTGGCTTCCAGAGATACACCCGTCGCCCGAAAGATACCCAAAGCTACTCCGGGATACCGGAGAGGGATCGGGACATCCCCAGGCGATCCAGATTCCACGGCAAACTACGCCACAGCCAAGAACCTCAACGGAATGGGATGGACCCCAGTGTCCTTTCCCCTACCTAGGAACTAGCGCGCCTGTGGGAGAAATCCCAAAGGCCACAAAGAGGAAGGGCAAAAGGGAGGGGTGGGGAGGAGGAGGAATGGAAAAAGGGGAGGATGGAATAGGGGAGGGGAGAATGGGGGGTAATTAGGTTCAGTCTGGGGAAGAAGACCAACAGGTCTAATTCCTCAGACCAAGAGCCTCTTCACCACGCCAAGGAGCCCCCCTTGAAGAGGTAGAGAGGATGGAACAAAATAGAATGACTGAGTGTGTATAAATCTGTAGTGGAGGGAAGGCGGAGTAGGGGCCAGCCTAGGAAAGGTTGGAGGGATGGGGGGTAAAGAAGGTTGTGTGCAAGGGGCTTGGATTTCCAGCAAGCATGCGTGAGCATGTTAGATAGGAGCGAATGGAGACGAATGTTTTTTTTAGGACTTGACATGCTGTTGGAGTGTGGGAAAGGTAACACTTATGAAGGGATTCAGGGAAACCAGCAGGCCGGACTCGAGTCCTGGAGATGGGAAGTACAGTGTCTGCACTCTGAAGGGGTGTTTGTTCCAGTTTTACAACTGTAGTGTAAGAGCACCTCTGGCAAGACAGTGACAGAGTGAATGATGAAAGTTTTTCTTTTTCGGGCCACCCTGCCTTGGTGGGAGACGGCCGATGTGTTAATAAAATAAACATTTCAGGGAGCACAATAGATTTTTAACTATGCTTGTTATCTTTCCATGACAGTTATATGTTACATCAACAACGTTTAGTATGAGATAGTTACACAACTACAAGATGAGCCTGTTAATGCCATCTGAAATTCATTGTAACTAAATTAACTTTGTACTTGTTGATTAAGTAATATTAAAATAATGTAATTTAACCCAAATTTATACTGATTAGTTTGATTAATGTGACATTTTTATTGTGGCAACATTTCGCTCTCCAGGAGCTTGACAAAGCTCCTGGAGAGTGAAACATTGCTGTAATAAAAATGTCACATTAGCTGCACTTGTGTCCTTTTACTTTACATATTGTCGGTAATTCTACCAACATTACAAAACTGAATGTTGTAAAATGAAAATGCATTGACCATTCTTAATCACTAAATGACTTTTGTGCTTTCCAATAATAATTATAAACACTTCCACCAATCTTACTAAACTATTAATATTCTGGCAGATGCAATGCAAATTATTCAACACATGTCCATGGAAGACAATAATTTTTGTACTGGCAAGTGCTGTGCTCATCCTCTACTACCATGTACTCGCATCCCCACTACTGCTGCCAAAATTACCACCTCCAAATATACTCTTATCGTCTAGTAGAAATGGATCACCAAGTGCTCAAGTGCCCAGGACAACGAATGAAGACTTGGGGAAAGCTCCCTTCGCACATAATAGTAACTTGAGATATAAGAACATGTCTAAAATTAATAAACCTATTCCAGATGGCACTGAAGTAAATGCTGAAGCTGATGCTAACTCTTATAAAATTGAACTGATAGATGATACAGGAGAAGACTACCAACCAAGCAGTGAGGAACTCTCATTCAAACTAATCTTGAAAGGTGTTGATCTCATTCACCAAGCAGCGAAAACTTAGCATAGATAATATTAAGTATAACTTGCAAAACAAGACAAAATTTCCCCAAACCACTTTGCAATACACACAAGACCAAGAAAATACAACAGAAATGAATCAAATAAATAATCAAGGAAAAAACAGCACTTACTATGCTAATAAAGTCCAAGAGATTAATGAAACGCATGATCATATTTTAAGCACAGTTCTTCCACATTATGACATGCAGGAGAAAATCTCTCTCAATGCATGTAATATACTGTTGAATCTTGCTCCATGCTCGTGTGTACGTAATGTAGCATCCACGATACCATCATGTCCAAGCCAGGAAATGGGCCTAAGCCAAATTATTGCAAGAATAAATGGCACAGTGGGAGAATCAACATGCAGCGATTGGGCCACCATGAGAGGAAGCAACCAGTCTGTGAGTATACTAAAGATATTCTGTAGATTTTAGCAAACTCGTTTACCAAAGTATAGATTTTTTTGCTAGTAACGTAATAATCTACAAAACAAAAACAAAGTACAATGTATACGTGGATGTAGTTTGCCCAAAATGCAGTGCCTACCAATGTTTTATTAAATGTAAACTACATTATTTGTGCTGCTTAAAGAAATAAAAACTGTATTGTATTTCACATGACAAGTCTCACGTATGCAATCCTCAGCAGCTACTAATCCAATTATGATCCACTAAACTGCAATATCTTCACCTGATTCCCACAGTCCAGGCATTATGCTGCCCACCTCCAAACACAATCTAACAAATGGATTTCCCTGAAACTACTTATAGGTTTTTTTTTTTTTTTTTTTTTTTTTATTATCACACTGGCCGATTCCCACCAAGGCAGGGTGGCCCGAAAAAGAAAAACTTTCACCATCATTCACTCCATCACTGTCTTGCCAGAAGGGTGCTTTACACTACAGTTTTTAAACTGCAACATTAACACCCCTCCTTCAGAGTGCAGGCACTGTACTTCCCATCTCCAGGACTCAAGTCCGGCCTGCCGGTTTCCCTGAATCCCTTCATAAATGTTACTTTGCTCACACTCCAACAGCACGTCAAGTATTAAAAACCATTTGTCTCCATTCACTCCTATCAAACACGCTCACGCATGCCTGCTGGAAGTCCAAGCCCCTCGCACACAAAACCTCCTTTACCCCCTCCCTCCAACCCTTCCTAGGCCGACCCCTACCCCGCCTTCCTTCCACTACAGACTGATACACTCTTGAAGTTATTCTGTTTCGCTCCATTCTCTCTACATGTCCGAACCACCTCAACAACCCTTCCTCAGCCCTCTGGACAACAGTTTTGGTAATCCCGCACCTCTCCTAACTTCCAAACTACGAATTCTCTGCATTATATTCACACCACACATTGCCCTCAGACATGACATCTCCACTGCCTCCAGCCTTCTCCTCGCTGCAACATTCATCACCCATGCTTCACACCCATATAAGAGCGTTGGTAAAACTATACTCTCATACATTCCCCTCTTTGCCTCCAAGGACAAAGTTCTCTGTCTCCACAGACTCCTAAGTGCACCACTCACTCTTTTTCCCTCATCAATTCTATGATTCACCTCATCTTTCATAGACCCATCCGCTGACACGTCCACTCCCAAATATCTGAATACGTTCACCTCCTCCATACTCTCTCCCTCCAATCTGATATTCAATCTTTCATCACCTAATCTTTTTGTTATCCTCATAACCTTACTCTTTCCTGTATTCACCTTTAATTTTCTTCTTTTGCACACCCTACCAAATTCATCCACCAATCTCTGCAGCTTCTCTTCAGAATCTCCCAAGAGCACAGTGTCATCAGCAAAGAGCAGCTGTGACAACTCCCACCCTGTGTGTGATTCTTTATCTTTTAACTCCACGCCTCTTGCCAAGACCCTCGCATTTACTTCTCTTACAACCCCATCTATAAATATATTAAACAACCACGGTGACATCACACATCCTTGTCTAAGGCCTACTTTTACTGGAAAAAATTTCCCTCTTTTCTACATACTCTAACTTGAGCCTCACTATCCTCGTAAAAACTCTTCACTGCTTTCAGTAACCTACCTCCTACACCATACACTTGCAACATCTGCCACATTGCCCCCTATCCACCCTGTCATACGCCTTTTCCAAATCCATAAATGCCACAAAGACCTCTTTAGCCTTATCTAAATACTGTTCACTTATATGTTTCACTGTAAACACCTGGTCCACACACCCCCTACCTTTCCTAAAGCCTCCTTGTTCATCTGCTATCCTATTCTCCGTCTTACTCTTAATTCTTTCAATTATAACTCTACCATACACTTTACCAGGTACACTCAACAGACTTATCCCCTATAATTTTTGCACTCTCTTTTATCCCCTTTGCCTTTATACAAAGGAACTATGCATGCTCTCTGCCAATCCCTAGGTACCTTACCCTCTTCCATACATTTATTAAATAATTGCACCAACCACTCCAAAACTATATCCCCACCTGCTTTTAACATTTCTATCTTTATCCCATCAATCCCGGCTGCCTTACCCCCTTTCATTTACCTACTGCCTCACGAACTTCCCCACACTCACAACTGGCTCTTCCTCACTCCTACAAGATGTTATTCCTCCTTGCCCTATACACGAAATCACAGCTTCCCTATCTTCATCAACATTTAACAAATCCTCAAAATATTCCCTCCATCTTCCCAATACCTCTAACTCTCCATTTAATAACTCTCCTCTCCTACTTTTAACTGACAAATCCATTTGTTCTCTAGGCTTCCTTAACTTGTTAATCTCACTCCAAAACTTTTTCTTATTTTCAACAAAATTTGTTGATAACAGCTCACCCACTCTCTCATTTGCTCTCTTTTTACATTGCTTCACCACTCTCTTAACCTCTCTCTTTTCTCCATATACTCTTCCCTCCTTGCATCACTTCTACTTTGTAAAAACTTCTCATATGCTAACTTTTTCTCCCTTACTACTCTCTTTACATCATCATTCCACCAATCGCTCCTCTTCCCTCCTGCACCCACTTTCCTGTAACCACAAACTTCTGCTGAACACTCTAACACTACATTTTTAAACCTACCCCATTCCTCTTCGACCCCATTGCCTATGCTCTCATTAGCCCATCTATCCTCCAATAGCTTTTATATCTTACCTAACTGCCTCCTCTTTTAGTTTAATAAACCTTCACCTCTCTCTTCCCTGATGCTTCTATTCTCCTTGTATCCCATCTACCTTTTACTCTCAGTGTAGCTACAACTAGAAAGTGATCTGATATATCTGTGGCCCCTCTATAAACAATATACATCCTGAAGTCTACTCAACAGTCTTTTATCTACCAATACATAATCCAACAAACTACTGTCATTTCGCCCTACATCATATCGTGTATACTTATTTATCCTCTTTTTCTTAAAATATGTATTACCTATAACTAAACCCCTTTCTATACAAAGTTCAATCAAAGGGCTCCCATTATCATTTACACCTGGCACCCCAAACTTACCTACCACACCCTCTCTAAAAGTTTTCTCCTACTTTAGCATTCAAGTCCCCTACCACAAATTACTCTCTCACTTGGTTCAAAGGCTCCTATACATTCACTTAACATCTCCCAAAATCTCTCTCTCTCCTCTGCATTCCTCTCTTCTCCAGGTGCATACACGCTTATTATGACCCACTTCTCGCATCCAACCTTTACTTTAATCCACATAATTCTCGATTTACACATTCATATTCTCTTTTCTCCTTCCATAACTGATCATTTAACATTACTGCTACCCCTTCCTTTGCTCTAACTCTCTCAGATACTCCAGATTTAATCCCATTTATTTCCCCCCACTGAAACTCTCCTACCCCCTTCAGCTTTGTTTCGCTTAGAGCCAGGACATCCAACTTCTTTTCATTCATAACATCAGCAATCATCTGTTTCTTGTCATCCGCACTACATCCACGCACATTTAAACAACCCAGTTTTATAAAGTTTTTCTTCTTCTCTTTTTAGTAAATGTATACAGGAGAAGGGGTTACTAGCCCATTGCTCCCGGCATTTTTAGTCGCCTCATACGACACGCATGGCTTACGGAGGAAGATTCTTTTCCACTTCCCCATGGACAATAGAAGAAATAAAAAGAACAAGAGCTATTTAGAATAAGGAGAAAAACCTAGATGTATGTATATATATATATGCATGTGCGTGTCTGTGAAGTGTGACCAAAGTGTAAGTAGGAGTAGCAAGATATCCCTGTTATCTAGCGTGTTTATGAGACAGAAAAAGAAAACCAGCAATCCTACCATCATGCAAAACAGTTACAGGTTTTTGTTTCACAGTCATCTGGCAGGACGGTAGTACTTCCCTGGGTGGTTGCTGTCTACCAACCTACTACCTTATAGGTATTATGCTTAATCTGAGTCTTCATCTGCTGATACAAACTCCTTTTCCCCAATCTCATCTCTAACCATTCATTCCTTTAGAACTTGTCACCAGTTTTCTTTTCTGCCTTTGCTGTTAACATCCTTTTCTTAGCCAGCACCTGTTACTGAGGTGACAAACAATTTGCATCTAGTGACTATGTAGGGAACATTATTTAGTCCCAACTGATTAGAACTGCAACATCCATGGTGATAAATAATTCATGAATAAACATCATCAGTTACCTTGTATTACAGGAAAACAATGCATGCATTGATGCTAATGCAGAAAAAAATCCTGATTTCCAACTTTGAGGACTAAAAATGAAGTCTTATACCTGGGGGCTATGAAAATATCCAATTATTTGAGTGAAAGCATATACCCCCTCCAGTCTCATGGCTTGGGTCAACTTACATCTGGTAACAGTGTACACATTTTCAATCACCTGTACAATCCTCTGCATCTTCTCTTTAGAATCTCACAATAACAATCATAATGAAGAGCTAAACCTAGGGAATGGGAGGGAATGTGATCAAAGGGTAGGGGTGTGCCAAAGTATCAGCTGGTACTGGTTAACTTCTGATGGTATCAGTATCAGCCTAAAAATCGAGCAATAGGAATCCGCTAATTCTGGTGATATCAGCTTAAAATTTAATATCAATATTAGCTAAAATTTTGGTATTGTCTCACCCCTATTTATCATTTATCACACGAGCTTTAAATACCACACCACTTAACACTATTAGTCACTTCAACAATTTTGGCCATAAACACAAAACCTATGACACCATCACACCATCTCCAGGGTCTACTTTTGTACTGAAAAACTTTCCTCTTTTTCCCAACATACACTAACTCTTGATGGCCATACGAAATCTACATTTACACAGTTGAAACACATGATAATAAGTATATAATTATCGTTGCAGGTCATAAGCTTCAGCTTATTTGGCAAATTCCCAAGTCCCTACTACAGAGGAGCTTTTACTCTTATGCAAAGATTATCAAGGGTATATCCTGGCTGGTCAGTTCGGTTCTATCACGACTTGGACATCTCTGACCCAGAAAAGGCGGCATGGGTGTGCTCACTTTCCTGCAAATATGAGCAGCTTGATTTCTGCTATGTTGGTAATCTCCCAGGAGGTAAAGAAATTATTCTTTAACTACTGCAGTGTCAAGTAGAAATTGTACTGAAAAAATACAAATGATACTAACAAGGCACTCTTACTGAATGAAATACAGAATTTGCAGTTTTATCATCAGTACATCTTCAAACGTGTTCTTCTGAGTGCATGCCTTGAACAATGATCTTTATATTTATGTGGAAGCAGTAAATCACAGGGGTTATGCAGCACCTGGAGAACTGGAGTTAAACAGGTTTGACTGAAGGAAGGGGAGGGTAGTTCTAAGCTCTCAAGCCTTGGCTCAAGAGTCAATCTCCATGATAAGAGCACCCTCACTGAAGGGACAATTATAATAAATGAATATTCAGAGCATCTAGCAGATACAAATTTTCAGAGACAGACATAAGCCAGCAGGCATAATGTACAAATATTTTCACAGTAGGTACGAGTGATTAAAGACTGGCAATTATTTTTTCCACCTAAAACAAAAAGCTTAACAATTCTGAATCCTTGTACAGTATATGTAATATATTGCAATTAGAGTATTTGCTGTTTTATAGCCATTGCACTAAGAACAAATTATATGCCTTGTACTTATTCATATGTTTCAAGACATCATGAGACCGTTTCATTATTTACACTATTTTTTCCATGCTGTGATTTTAATTTTAAAATCCTCCAGTATTACAACTATAAATAAAAATAGTAATTTTTTTTTCTCATTTAAGTAATTCCTTCTAAAACTAGCAGGGCTTGGTGATATTCAGTGGACAATTGGGACTATATGGAGACTGGCAGTCATGGGAGACCCGCTAGTATCAAGATTTATTATTCGTGACACAGACTCCCCAGTTTTACTGCGTGAAGTCGAGGCTGTACATGAATGGTTAAGCTCCGACAAGGTAAGTCAGGTTATGCTTACACAGGATATGAGTAATAAAATTATGCTACAGTCTCTAGTGTATCTAGTATACAATATTTCTATCCTACTTAAAGCTACAATGCTTCATTCTTTTTACCAGATTCAATAAACTATGAGGATAATACAGAAAAAAAGTGATTAAGTAGGTAAAAAGCCTTTTCACAGTACATAAAGGGATATTATGCATTATTAAAGTATTTCGACAAAGACAGTCTCTAATATGTGCAACACAAGAATATTATTAAACCATACTGTACAGAATATTATGGCTTGAAAATGCATCTATTATAATGAGAGTTTTCAAGAGAATATAGGTTCCAGGTGACAAACAACTTGCAAACAATTTGAGAACAGTAAAGTCATAAGTCAGGGACTTGCTACAGTGCAAATCAAAGCCAAAAATACAAGATGCAAAATCTGTATTTAAGCTTGTCTTTCTCCCTCCCCTCCCATCTCACCCAAGTGTTTCCACATGATGCGGGACAACCCAGCACACAACCAGGCCATCATGGGGGGTGCATGGGGGGGTTGCAACACCTGGCACCCAGAAGCAATGCCACGACTCAGGGACCTAGTATTCAGATGGTCCAAAAACAAATCCAAACCGTCACAGGATCAGATCAATGTAGTGGTCAGTATCACAAGTTTCAAGTATAAATGTTAGCTTTCTAGAGAATAAATAGGGCATGGAAGAATAGAAAGTTATACTATCATGACTGGAAGAATGCATCCAAAACCTGCATTTAGAAGAGGAACCTCACAAGGGTATTCCAGTCCACTCAGAACAACTGCTGACTTGACAATGGCACAGGATGGACCAAAATGTCATGAGGCTTCTCTCCTAGGTGCAGGTTTGAAGAGAAATAAATAGGGCATGACTAAGTAAAACATGACCAACAAACATTCCTGTTATGACAGCATGCACTAAGGAGAAAAAAAAATGAATGTAGTAGTCAGAACATTGACACTGTAAAGCTAGAACAAAGATGTGGAGTAAAAACATACGACACCAAGGAATGTTTTAGAGTAAAGGCGAGAATTCTAAACTCTGGCCGTTATTACTCGTATACTATAGTGAATGATCAGACTGAAAACAGTGTAAGATTATTGACAATGGTCAATCAAGTATTGTTTTTATCTGCCAGGAAATTAAGCAATTATTTTTAATATCTAGTCAATAATATACCACAGAATGAAAATGTAATTTAAAAAAAAAAAAAAAAATTCAACAAGTCGGCCGTCTCCCACCGAGGCAGGGTGACCCAAAAAGAAAATACTTTCATCATTCAACACTTTCAGCTCACTCACACATAATCACTATTTTTGCAGAGGTGCCCAGAATACAACAGTTTAGAAGTATATACATATAAAAATACACAATATATCCCTTCAAACTGCCAATATCCCAAACCCCTCCTTTAGAGTGCAGGCAATGTACTTCCCATTTCCAGTACTCAAGTCCGGTTATATAAAATAACCGGTTTCCCTGAATCCCTTCACTAAATATTACCCTGCTCACACCAACAGATCGTCAGGTCCCAAATACCATTTGTCTCCATTCACTCCTATCTAACGCACTCACGCACGCTTGCCTGAAGTCCAAACCCCTCGCCCACAACACCTTTACCCCCTCCCTCTAACCTTTTTGAGGACGACCCCTGCCCCACCTTCCTTCCCCTACAGATTTATACGCTCTCAATGTCATTCTACTTTGATCCATTCTCTCTAAATGACCAAACCACCTCAACAAACCCTCTTCAGCCCCTTCACCTTTCACATGCTTCACATTCAGGTAAATTTTCACACTAAAGTATTATTTTTAATAAGCAACAAATTAATTCATTAATTTTTAATCACTGATATTATTGAATAGCAATAAACATACTCTATCAAGCAACATGATGCAAAGAGGTAATGCAACAGATATGGATATAAAGACAATGTGTAGAACAAGCTTTTATTGGGCCTATGTTTATCAAGTCATGACTTCATAAACCTCAACTAGCAAAATGTAGTCCCAATAAAAGCTTATTCTGAATACTCTCTTTATACCTAACACAATGCTGCTTTAGGAAATTATTTCCTATATTTTATGCCCATAAATTTTTTTTTTTTTTTTGGTATTACTTGCATTATAATTTTTTTTAAATATGCAAGACAATATAGAAACACTGAAAACATTCATAAAAATACTGTCCCTTCATTCCTCAGCAACTTCTGTGGCCAACACTGAAGAAAAGTCATCTTGCTCACGATGCATTCTACTGCCACAAATTCCCAGGTTCCCGCCCTTTCCCTTCCAGAAGACAAAATTACACCTTTGTGGGTATGAGAACACTCAGGGATGCTTATTCTGACGACAGCATCCATGACCCTTGTCCTATAGAGTGCAGGCCAACTCACCACAAGGACTGGGAATACTGCTGAAATATTACAGTACTGTACTTACCTGTTCCTCTCTATATTAAACTTTATTAAGTAGTCATGTGCTTGCTTAAACATGTGTACAAACCTCATTTAACACACATACCCAGCACAGCTTGATGAAAATTTAAATCAAGTTAGATAAACCAGCCAATTTTAGAGAAAAATGCTGTTCTATAGAAAATAATTAGCATCAAGTATGTCAAGATAATTTTTAATGTTACATTATTCAAGCTACGCTAAAAAAAATTAACAATGTGAGAACCAAGTTAGGAAGAGTAAGAAAATGTAGCAGTAAAGACTACTCAAAATTTATGGCTTTTGGTTAACTAAATCTTTGTACAAAAATAGGAAAGGGGTAATTGAATCAGGCAAGATGAAAAGAAAAATTTTAAGCTAACTAAAAATAAATTTCAATCAACCAGAAAAAGTTGTTCGCCAACTAAAGCAATGAAAAAGAACATGATTAACAGAAACAGGACATGAAAAAGGTGGAAACATGCAAAACAAACTAGTTTGCAATGGCAGCCAAACAAAATGGAGAACTAAACAAAAGCAGAAGAGAAACTAATCCCCACTAAGAATAATTATGCACTAATATAAAATTTAAGCGTTACTCAAAAAACTGGGTTTTGGGATTTTAATCTTTTCTTTTTCTAACAACACTAGTTCCTTAATCATATTAATGTTGAAAATACTTTTTAGTTATGTATGATCCTAATAAACAATTATGGTACTATAGTAATTAGCTGATACTTATCAGTGGATATAAACTTTTATGGTATCAATATCAATTTAAAAAATGTAGTATTGGTCAGGGGAAACTGACTAATTTCAATTTTTTTATGGTAGCAGCATTGCCAAAAATTTTGGTATTGACCCATCCCTAGTATTTTGTGCTGTTAGTATTATACTGTGTGTGGTAGCAGTGAATGTAAAACTGTGAATCTCTCAAAAATATTGATGGAAACTTCAGGAATAATACTTTAGATCAAGAGCCTCTCACCAGCATCAAGGGAACTCCTCTGAGATATCACAGTCCCTCAATACTACAGAAGATATGACAGGTATCAATGCCCCAAAGAAAAAATCTGTCTGCATACCACCATTACCCTGATATCCTTTATTTACTATTTAAAAAATTTTTTTTTTTTAATACGTACCATTCAGACGCCTGTATTTTTCTGATATACAGTAATACAGCAGGTATAACAGCTGTAATTTGCAAGATAAAAATCAATATTTTACTCAGGAAAAGGGTAGTGTGACTGCTTTTTAAAAGAAACTTAGTTTCTAAGTCAACATCTTGAATCTTGTAACACTTTTTTAAGTAGTAACATTACAAAAGACTAATTGAAGATGACAAACACTTGAGTACATGTAATTAATGAACTATGGGTCTGAGGTAAGTAATTAAATAATAATCTTCACCCCCTTTGACTGTTTACGTTGTATATATACGTCTTACGCGCCACCGTTTCTGATGTATTTAAACGCGTAAATTCTAGCGGCTTCAAATCAAGCAGGAGAAAGCTGGTAGGCCCACATGTGAGAGAATGGGTCTGTGTGGTCAGTGTGCACCACAAAAAAATCCTGCAGCATGCAGTGCATAATGAGAAAAAAAAACTGACCGTTTTTTTGGATTAAAAAGCCAGCTTTGAGGTGTATTTTCGTATAGTATTTATTGTTGTATTCTCATTTTCGTGGTCTCAGGTGATAAAATGGAAAACATATTACAGAAATAGAGATGATTTTCATTACTTTCACGATGAAAACGACCTTGAAATTGAGCTCAAAGTAGCGGAAATGTTCGATTTTTACCAATGTTCAGGAGTAAGCAAATTACACCATACGTCCAATACACGTCAACTGGGAAGTCTAATATTCTTTCACTAGTGCACTGATATTATTTATACCATTTTTACAATAATGCAGTAGTCTGCATAACAGTAAATTTTGTATTTTTTTGCATGAATAAAAAATAAAAACAGAAAGCAATAGTAATAGAGGGGCCTAGAGATGTGACTAATGAACAGAGGATATGTTATTTTAATGCCAAGAATGTCTACATTGTTTATTCTGGACCCTATTTTGAAATTGGCATCTTTTTTAATGTGTGAAATTGGCCAAATTGCCAATTTCTGACCACTTTATTGGGTAGTTCAAACTGGTAAATTGGCAGTTTCTTGTACTCAACTGATAGAAAAAATGGAGTTCTAAAGAAATAGCTATAAGTTTGGTCAACTGGAACAACGGAATTGGCCAAAAACAGGGCTCAAAGTCGGCAAAATTGCCGATGCGTATGTGTCGCCAAGACCGCTAATTTCGCGGGAGCGTAATTCCGTGAGTTTTTGACCAAATTCCGTACTTTTGGTGTCATTACCATCAGGAAAAGATTCTCTATAATTTCATAAGAAAAAATAACTTTTTTTCCAAAACTTTTGCGACACAGAATGACAGTTTCAGAAAGGGGCTTGCGACAGTCAAAGGGTTAATATTCCAAGAAACCAACCAACATTGAGAAATAAAACAAGATGAGAACACTGTATATTCTAGACTATCACTGAGGCCCTCTTCATATCCTGATTTATTTTCTATATGGGTTCATTTGTGCCACTGACAAGTGTTTATTATACTTTTGCATCCACTGTTATCTTTACAGTTATGTCTAACTAATATCAAGGAAGAAAATTAATACTACCTTATACACACATTATGCACAGGAAACATTCACATTAACATAGCGACTAGCTAAAAACAATAAATCGTTTAATGAGTAATGCGTCATCTAGTTCTTTCAACTGTGCCATTCCTCTTAGAGCGGTAGAAACAAAGTGCATATGTATGTTTTAAGCACAAGTATGATGTCAATGTCGTCATTGAAACATAATCCAAAGCTCTCTAGCAATAAAAGTAAAACAGACTGCACTACCCCTTTTTGTTTTTTTGGTTATCTTTCCATGGCGGAAAACAGCAATTTGTTTAAAAAAATCATAAAACATTTCTCAAGAGCTGTTTCTGATGCATTTTGAGTATGCTGATAATTTTGATCACACAGGCATGCAGCATCAAGCAGGAAAACTGTGTGATCACAGGAAAACGATGTGAAATGGTCAGGGCAAAAGCATAATCCCAAGAGGGCACACACAGGTCAAACACCTGACCTAGTTTAACCTGGTGAATGAGGGTAACAAAGGCGAGCAGCATCTGCCAACTGGTTGATGGTCTCATTATCACGCCTACAACAAACCATAAAGAAACTCTTTATAAATGCTACTAGAGCTAGGGGCAAAGGAAATGTACAAAAAAAAAAAAAAATACAAATACTGTAATGAAGTCTTACAAAAAATCAATTAACTCAATACAGTACATAATTCTAAAATTAGTTATGCAAATTATCTATTCACAAATATGTAATTACTCTCAAATATTAATTAAAACTTAACAGTACCCAAGTGAATGGTGTTCTGCTATGTTTTTAAAATAGGAGGTTCTTTCCACAATTCTAATATGAATGCTAATCCAACTTATTATTGTACTGACCAAGTCTGACACTAAAAATTTTCCATCACAATATGATAGAATGATGAAAAATTAGTATTTTGCATCTTAAAACAATAGTGTCCAGCTCTTTCTAAAAACCTGCCTCAATGAAAGGCTAATTGATAACTGATTCAGATTTCAACTCCAATTTTCCTAAGAAATTCAAATGGCATTTTTTCACGTAACACGGCAATACACGTTTTCTTCTTGAACGTACTAAAGTACATAATAACATAGCACTACACAAAACAAAATTACCTAAAATTTTACCTCAATCTATGAGGTTTACCTACTTCATTATAAAGTGTGTGCTTACAAAAGCTTTGAAGGATGAGCAACTAGACATGCCAAGTTACTATAAGGTATCACCAGAGCTACCGAGAGAATGGCTCATCCCACTGCAAGGTATTATTCATTACAATACAGTACCCAACTGATTACAGACAAATGTAGATCAAAACTAGCCAAATTCATCAATTGTGTATAAAGAACTTCTGCATGGGAATTGTGGCATGCAGAGAGTATGTAACCTTTATTTGGCGCATGTACACACCCTCATTGAAAGGCTATCTCCCCCCAACCAGCAAACCAGGTACTAAGGGTTGATGATGGGGCCCCATCATTCAATCAGTACCCAGGTTCCAGCCAATGAGAAGATGATTTTGGCAATCGCAGAGGTGATGTGGGTACCACTCACCTGTCTGCCCTTGTCATTCCTATTCAAGAGCTGGTTGAAGCACGGTCTGCTCTCTAGTGGCTTCTATTCTGCCTTGCTTACTGTGGAGTGCACTAATACCTATTGTAAAACAATATTGTAAAACAATAGGTATTAGTGCACTCCACAGTAAGCAAGGCAGAATAGAAGCCACTAGAGAGCAGACTGTGCTTCAACCAGCTCTTGAATAGGAATGACAGGTGAGTGGTACCCACATCACTTTTATATAGTGTACATACTTCTGTTCTAAATTGGTGAAGGATAATACAAGTCAGAGTTTTTCTGCTGTGTTTATTTTGCTCCCTTTACACCCAGGATAACAGGCCTTTGGGACTCCTGGGTTGTAATAGGAATGCTCCACTTCAATTAATGATATTGTGCAGAAAATCTCTTATCAGACATGTCTGCAGATGGACAGAGGACCTGGGATTCCCTTGAATCATCTCAGTTGGAAAGGAAACAATCATGTAATGTGTGGTTTTTTACATTACTGACAACAAACTTAGCCCACCTTTGGATATCTCAATAAATCCATGGGATATCATAGGATATTTACAGTATGTCCATGCATTTTACATTATATTCGTCAAGAAAAAAACTATGCAAACACTAAATATTCTATGGGCATGGTCTTAGACATCAATAATCCTTGCAACTAAGTCCAGAGCTGCTCTGAATTGGTACTCTTCACACCATCTATGACTTGTATGGTGAAATTCTCATTTTGTAACTCTGCAGGGGTCCCCAAAGTAATTTTGCAAAACACGTGGAATTATGTCTACACAATCTAGGAAAATGTGGATTTAGACAAGAATACTACTACCTCTCAAATGCTGGATCACAATAACACAGCACTGAATGAACTTGAAGATAAGCAAAGTGGTGATGTAAGATGTACAAAGTTTGTGAAAGTTTGACAATGATGTACAGGCACACAAAATGATTATAAGAGGAAAAACTGTAAAAGTAAGCAAATTTATTGTCAGCCACCTAACTAATATGGATATATCTAGTCAATAAAATTAAAGATTTACACTGTGAAAATCTGTTCCAAGGTGTGGTTCTTGTCTCAGTACTAGTACTAGCTGTTGTCATATCTGTAGCAACTTGATGTAAAGCCAGAATTTCCTATTAACCACAATAAAGCCAAATTTTAACTTCATTATGAATAAAATAAAGAAATTCAAATGTAAACATTATAAAACACAACCAGCCTATACCAAAAACTTATAAGGAAATGTAAAATATTAAAAAAGAATGAGAACCTAAACTTATTAACATGAGTGCCTCCCTACAAAACTGTCCCTCAAGCTTCATGCCAAACCATCAGTACACTAAAAGAATTACAGATAAGACATGCAGTGGGTTTTGAAGTCAATGATTTCAGTATACAGTACTGTATCTACCTGTATAAATTTGCTACAGTACTCACTCTCAGCCCACATTAAAAACTACAGACAAATTAAAACAAGAAACAGCATGCAGAGCAACAACAGACTACAAATAATAGACTCCACAACACTGTCTCCCACTAATTCTTTTTCCTTAATCCACAACAATAATAACTTTTCCATCTCTTCCATTATTGGTGGCCTCCCATTTGAATGAACATTAACTATACATGAAACGTGGAGATCATAACTGCCTTCATCAAATGCCTGTTAATAAGATTTATAAATATAAATAGCTCGTGGGGAAGTAAAGACTAAGCCTTCCTCAGTAAGCCATGCGTGTCTCAAGAGGCGATTAAATTTAAAAAGAAAAACGTTAGTTTTTTTCTTTTTAGATCACCCTGCCTCAGTGGGATACGGATAGTTCGCTGGAAAAAAAAATTAAATATACTCACCAATCATTTGAGAGAGATTCTCCTGCTCACAATAACCCAAAAGGAAAGAGAGGATGACAGCAACCCCAAACACCAACACTACTAACAGTGTTAAGACTACCACCGTCTCAACTATGCGGGCTCGTAGCCCCTGCAAGAGAGAGAAGACTTATTAAATTTAGTAAAAAAAATAATGAATCAATATTTACTCTTAATACATTTATCAAGAGCTACTGAATAAAAAAAAAAAAAATATGGCATGTTAGTTTAATATACAAAATATCTAAATGCACCTCATGACATTCATAGCTGATAGTCTTGCTGTTCTCAAACAAACTTCTTTTCCAATACACACTTCATCTTCACTCTTTTTAAATAAAGTACATGATTTTTTTTCCATTCTATATTATTAACAGCAGACTAGCAATTTTCTTCACCTTCATTTATTTTCCTCAGTCACATTTGCAACTCCTGCAAATGGTATCACACCTGCAACTCTTTTCTCAAACCACTTTCAGCTCAAGAGGTACCTGCTTACAGTACCCTACAAACTACAGTGGACCCCCAGTTCACAATGCCATCGGTATCCGATAAATCTGGTATGCGATGCATTACATTGCAAAAAATTTGCCTCGGTTCCCATTACAAAACCCAGTATACGCGATTCGTCTGAGATGTGTCCACGTGTGGCCTGAACTGCCCCGTGTGTGCCAGTGTGCTCACATCTAAGGATACATTCGGTACATTCCATATCATCACTGTTTTTGGTGCTTGTTTCTGCAAAATAAGTCACCATGGGCCCCAAGAAAGCTTCTAGTGCCAGCCCTTCGAGACGAAGGGTGCTAATGACAATTGAAATGAAGAAAGAGATAATTGCAAAGTACGAAAGTGGAGTGCATGTGTCGGAGCTGGCCAAGTTGTATACAAAACCCCGATCAACCATCTCTACTATAGTGACCAGGAAAACGGCAATCAAGGAAGCTGTTGTTGCAAAAGGTGCAACTGTGATTACGAAACAGCGACCGCAAGTGTTAGAAAATGTTGAGAGACCGTTATTGGTGTGGATAAATGAAAAACAGATAGCAGGAGATAGCATCTCTCAAGCGATCATTTGTGAAAAGGCTAGGAAATTGCATGACAATTTGGTAAAGAAATTGCCTGCAACTAGTGATGCGAGTGAATTTAAGGCCAGCAAAGGTTGGTTTGAAAGATTTAAGAATCGTAGTGGCATACAGTGTGATTAGGCATGGTGAGGCTGCCAGTTCAGACCAAAAAACAGCTGAAAAATATGTGAAGGAATTCAAGGATTACATAGACAGTGAAGACTTGAAACCTGAACAAGTGTTTAATTGCGACAAAACAGGCCTGTTTTGGAAGAAATTCCTAAGCAGGACCTACATTACTCAGGAGGAAAAGGCACTCCCAGGACATAAGCCTATGAAAGACAGGCTTACTCTTCTGATGTGTGCCAATGCTAGTGGTGATTGCAAAGTGAAGCCTTTATTGGTGTATCACTCAGAAACTCCCAGAGTGTTCAGGCAAAAGAATATCCTCAAGGCTAATTAGTGTGTGCTGTGGAGGGCAAACACTAAGGCATGGGTCACTAGGGACTTTTTCTATGACTGGTTACACCATGCATTTGCCCCCAATGTGAAAAATTACTGTAGGATGCCCCTGGTCATCCTACAGACTTGGCAGAGCGACTTTCTGGGGACATGAGCTTCATTAAGGTCAAGTTTTTGCCTCCTAATACCACCAATCTCCTGCAGCCCATGGACCAGCACGTCATTTCCAACTTCAAGAAACTGTACACAAAAGCTATGTTTGAAAGGTGCTTTGAAGTGACCACAGACACTCTACTGACTCTAAAGGAGTTTTGGAAGGATCACTTTAATATCCTCAATTGTGTAAACCTTATAGGTAAGTCTTGGGAGGGAGTGACTAAGCGAACCTTGAACTCTGCCTGGAAAAAACTGTGGCCAGAATGTGTAGACAAAAGGGATTTCGAAGGGTTTGAGGCTAACCCTGAGAAGCGTATGCCAGTTGAGGAATCCATTGTGGCATTGGGGAAGTCCTTGGGGTTGGTGGTTAGTGGGGAGGATGTGGAAGAGTTGATGGAGGAGGACAATGATGAACTAACCACTGATGAGCTGCTAGATCTTCAACAGCAAGAGGCCAGACCTGAGGAAACTGCTTCGGAGGAGGGGATGGAGAAAGTGAAGTTGCCTACTTCAAAGATTAGGGAAATGTGTGCAAAGTGGCTTGAAGTGCAAAGCTTTTTTGATGAAAATCACCCTCAGACAGCTACTGCAAGCCGTGTTGGCAACCTGTACAATAACACTGTTGTGAACCACTTTAGGAAAGTCATAAAAGAACGAGAGGTACAGGCATCTATGGACAGATATGTTGTGCGACAGAAGTCCAGCGACTCAAGCTGGTCCTAGTGGCATTGTAAGAAGAGAAGTAACCCCAGAAAAGGACTTGCTACCTCAAGTCCTAATGGAGGGGGATTCCCCTTCTAAACAATAGGTTTGACACACTCCCCTCCTCCCATCCCATCAATCATCACCAGATCTTCATTAAAGGTAAGTGTCATGTATTCTATTGTTAGTAGAGTACATACTACAAACTGTGCATGTCTTCTTCAGTTTGTGTGCATTAAACTTAATATTTCATGTAGTAAATTTTTTTTTTTCATACTTTTGGGTGTCTTGCACGGATTAATTTGATTTCCATTATTTCTTATGGGGAAAATTGATTCGCTTTCCGATATTTTTGGTTTACGATGAGCTCTCAGGAACGGATTAATATCGCAAACCGGGGGTCCACTGTAATAGTAATTAGTTATTGTAATTAGTTATTGTTATTGTATTTATTTTCTTATAGTCGGACTTGAGTCCTGGAAATGGGAAGTACAATGCCTGCACTTTAAAGGAGGGGTTTGGGATATTGGCAGTTTGGAGGGATATGTTGTGTATCTTTATACGTATATGCTTCTAAACTGTTGTATTCTGAGCACCTCTGCAAAAGCAGTGATAATGTGTGAGTGTGGTGAAAGTGTTGAATGATGATGAAAGTATTTTCTTTTTGGGGATTTTCTTTCTTTTTTGGGTCACCCTGCCTCGGTGGGAGACGACCAGTTGAAAAAAAAAAAATTTCATAAAGCAGAATTACTATCATGTAGCCACATACAGAATATACAGGGTAAAGCAGCAGCTGCATAAAATCATTCTACATCAATCAACACTGAAATTATTAAGTCACTGAATTTAAATTTTTGATAGTCACAATGGTAAAGACGAACTACAAAATATATGCGCTTGACAATCTGCTTTAGATTTCCCTAGCAAAGTTTTCACACATCACTCAGGCAACTCAACAGGCCGTACTACTACGTATTAAGGAATATTGGGCTCACCTTACGAGAGCCAGGAAAGCCTTCAGATTCAGTGAAGAGGTAGGCGAATGGCAACCCCACAAATAATGACAGATTGGAGAAGAGGAAGATAATGTTCCACAATCCTGAAAAAAAAAAAATCAGTATAAATGAAACAATTTACAAAAAATGCTCCAAAATATAGTTCAAAAGTTAATCTTCAACCATAAAACTGAATATACTTTATGCAAAAGCTGAGCAAATTTAGAATTCCATTATTCTGCCATTATAAAAGAATTACCAATCATTGCTAAGCTTTTAAAACAGAGGCTGAGATGGAGTTATAATACAAATTATAAAATTTATTTGGTGAAAAGTATGGTACTGTAATAGTCACAGAGGATGGAACAAAAAGTAACTACCAAGAGAAATAATAACACTATATCTGATGAGAATACAATCTCATCATACTGTAATAACATAAAGCAGTTACTTTAAAAAGGCTATGCAATTATGTAAATACATTCAATCTCAAGATTTAAGGTACTGTATATTAACAATATTGATGTATAATTTCTGGTTAGGTTTGTCTAGTTATATTATTTGTATAATCAAACTTAGTGTTCTAGTGTAATGCCCACACACTTTACATGTAATATATGAATGAAATCTCCATACAAGCTGAAATGTCAGCTAATTTAATCTTACCTAACTCAACAATGTGTGTGGCAATGTTAGCCCAAGCCCTTTTTTTATATTATTAATTTATCACTTTTTTTTATGCTATACAGTCATAAAACAAGGTGGGATGCAGCCAGGCATGTGTGTTTAGCATAAAGTTAACTTATGGCCTACAATATTCAATCCTCGTCTGCTGATTGCGTGATTTTCTCAACCTATTCTCATGGAAGTTACTGTGAATGTTATATTTTTAATGTCCATTATATTTTTGTTGCATAACTATTTCAAGACCTTGTAAGCTTAATCCTCACACATCTTAGGGTAAGGAGAATATCATGTGTGTATTTTTTTCAACATTTTAATGGTTATCAGCATTTTTAGTACAGTATTGACAAAAATTCAACAACTCTGAGAATGGACTTTCTCCATATGCAGTTTTACTAATCGCATATCATAATAATGGATTTCTTACTTCCTATCTGCACTCTTCTACATTTTTCAGATCCACATAATAGTTGTCTATAAGAGCTCTAAGATGCATTTCACCCAACAATATACTATACATTATTTTGTCTAACTATACTATGGGGTTATCAAAGACATCAACTTTATAAATCCAGTAGTTTAGGCTGTAATGCAGAAAGCATTACAACCTAAACTACTCTAATTATGCTGTAATATCACTGAATATGAGAATAACACATCATGCTCACTTGCTGTCATGATTTAAAAGAGCCTTTTGTGTAGTTTGTGTAATTCTGTATTGAGAGTCAACAATAATACTAATAAAGTTGAAAGTAAGCCACTGCTAGCTTGTGTATACACTTACCCTGTATGAGAGAAAGGTTGAGCCACTGTACATAGAGGGAATCGCGGTACATGGTAAGAACTTCATTGCTCATGATACTGATGGGCAGGAGCAGAACAGCACCCAAAGACACTGACAGACTAAATGTGCACAGCCATAACCTGAAAAACAGTCAAATCATTAATATTTATAATATTTTTATGATCTTCTACTTTTACACCTAATAATTCATTTATAAACCTCTATTTTCAAAATAACTAACTTTCATGGCTGGGAGTCACTTACCACAGAAAGATGAAAATGTATTTTAATTAAAGAAAAGTATAAATACTTACTACTGTATATCAAATGCTCCACATACTAAAAGTAAAGTGTTCATTGTAAATTATCACATATGAAATAACAACAGTAATTATTCACTGCCACCAAATAGGCTGCTTCAAGTTTGTCCTGTTAACTCCCTTTTTTTTGTGTTATTCAGTCTTATTCAAACTTTTTCACCAAATTATGTGACAACCAACTGCTAGAAAAGATACAAGACACTTGTTGCCATTTTAAATGTACCATATTAGATTCTCCACAGAACACAGCATGGATTCAGAAATATATGATCATGCCTTACACAACTTGTAGACACAGGATAAATTAAAAGGAAAGAAAAGGACGAGTTTACTGCACATTCCCAGATTATAAGAAGTTTCTAATATGGTTCCATGAAGATTACTTAGCAAATTGGAGAAGCATACTAGACACGAAATGAATGAAATGAAACTGTAGGATGGTTAAGTTTAACCATCTGTTTCAAGAGTTTTGCTACTCTTGTGGCGTGGCGTGGCATGGCGTGGCATGGCGTGGCGTGGCATGGCGTGGCGTGGCGTGGCGTGGCGTGGCGTGGCCTGGGGCTAGGCCTCCCTGTTGATTGCCTGTCAACCAGGCTGTTGCTGCTTAAAGTCCACATACCCCTGGTTGACCTGGCACACCAAGGAGGTAGTGATCCAGTTCCCTCCAGCAGTATTTCTGATATCTTTTGCAAGCAGGTTGAATAATTGAGGCACCATATACAATGATGACTGTTCTCTTATGCCAGTGGCTCTCCTGCTTTTCACTTCCATCTCTCTCTTGCTCCAGTACATTGTTATGGTAGTGTGCTTATGAGATCAGGTCCTCTAGTATCTTCCATGTATAGTATAATTATTTCACTATCAGGCATTTCTCACTCCTCTCCAGAGAGAACATCCTCGGTTTGTGGCATTTAATGCTTCACTGGCTTTATGTAGGCAGTAATTCCAGCTCTATCTCTCCTGCCTTAAACAGAACTGCCAACACTGAGCAGTGCTTAGCTGAGAATGCAAGTGATTTGCAGAGGATGGGGAAAGAAACTTCACAGAATTTAATGAAGAAAAGACCTTGGAATAACCAATATCTTAAAACTCTCTTGAAGTGCACATTAACGAAACATCAGCAGCACAATTTAAACTAGCAAACAAAAATGGCATTCAGGAACCTTGTATAAAGACTTGGTCAACATACACTTTACCTCATACAAGACTGAGTATACAGCATAATTGTGGATAAAGAATGGTGCTTGAATCAAAAGAATGAGCTATAAAGATAGAATGTAAGAACTGTCACTGGAGACATGTATAACAGAAGGGGATATGATCATGACACCAAATAGCGACTAGGGAAGGCTCTTTACCAGGGACGCAACATAAACATAGGGTTATTTCATGCCAACAAAATTAAGAGGCATCCCCAATAGCTATAACTTAACTTTGCATTATATGTATATGTATGGTACCCACATCTGATTAAGCATGAAAAGCTGCTGGAAAAAAGTGTAAAGGTTTGCAACTAAACTAATCCCACAACTGAGGGATACTACCTATGAGGAGAGACTAAAGGAGCTACACCTGACGACACTAGTAGGCAGGACCAGAGGTAACGTGATTACAACATACAAAAACACTCAAAGGAACTGACACTGTGCACAGCGATAATCTGTTTGAAAGGTGGATCTCATGTATGCAGGGTTATATAGCTGGAGTTAAAAAGTTCAGGAGAGCCACAGGGATATTAGGAAATACTTTTCTAGCTTTAATGATCAGGAAGTGGAATGGCTTGGGCAGTGAAGTGGTAGAAGTAGAATCCATACATAGCTTTAAGAATAGTCATGACAGGGCTCACGTAGCCAGGAGAGTGAAGCCAGTAGTGGCCAGCAGAGGCAGTGCCAGGAGCTGAGACTCGACCCCTCCAACCACAATAATGCAAGAACAATTAGAGGGTACACCCAACCCCACCCACCCACATAGATACATACATATAGACAGTAGATAATGCAAGAAGTGATAATGAATGTAACAAAGCCATGTGATAGATAAGCAACTAGTCCTTTTAGACTATTATTAGTTCATCTTCAATATCAAGAAATGGTAAACTGTGGAGAGAGAATTCAGACTGTCAGCCGATGTTATGGCAGAGACGACACAGGCAGAATGTGGCTGAGAGCGGGCAGACAAGCACCCACACACAGGCGCCCCAAAAACAGCTGCCAGACGGAACCAAGGGATGTAACGTAATAAAGGCGCGCACACACACACCACTCAATTCAAACAGTGATATTTGAACTTTTACATTCCCTTACCGTCTGACAACTGTTTCTCGGGTGCCTACATGCCCTTAGCCTCTTCCTATGATGATAACAGCTGATAGTTTGAATTGCCTTGTCTCAATTTCCCATTTCTTGTTAGTGCAAGCTCCTGAAGACAGTCTGGTGATAGTTCGAAAGGCCTAGAGCTGCTTGTCCATCAATTTCGTGGCTTTCTTGTATATTTATTACATACGAAGCAAAATTCATACAAGAGTCTGCTGTAAACCAAAACCTTTCTTCATTTGGCAAGTTAATTTTTTCTAACTACCTATTTCTTGCGAGAACATGTTACTAAAAAGGAATTGATGATCTTTGATCTAATATGTTTTGGAACACGTACTGCCACAAACTAATCAATGCTGACAGTCTTGTGGTATAATGACCTGGAGTTTACCTGGAGAGAGTTCCGGGGGTCAACGCCCCCGCGGCCCGGTCTGTGACCAGGCCTCCGTCTTATAAGTGTTCATAAATATGGACTAAGTTTTCTTGAGAACAATGGCTCTACATACAACGGCCTGGTAGTGTCTGGGTGGATCTTCGACAAGATCGGTATTCTCTATGACCGTCAAGATTCTTCACAGAAATCTCCATGGTCTGCCAATCATTATCTTAAGCATTTAAGCAAGTAATATCTCTTAACATTTTTTGCCGTGCCATCCTTGCCTCAAGTGTTCATAAATTAAGATTCCTCTCTTCACCTTCACTCCACCTCAATACACACCTTAGCTACTGGTTTAGCTTCCTGAAGGTATGTCATGCAGTCTGACCTCCCTAGTTCAAGGTCTGAGCTCCCTAAACCTGGTCCGCTTTACTATCAAGCCACACACTAGTCCTGGCTCAAAATTATTAAAAATGCTACTATTTTTACCCCGAATTTGTGACGAAATTGTATCCCGTTAGAAAGTTTACAAAACTGTGATTACTGCGGTAGCAGCCCCGTCAATGGACCACTAAACAAGTGGTGATGATGTGTTAGGTATTAGCAAAACACCTACATTTTAAAAGAGCTTGTAGTTCTTTTCAGCTTAAAGGGATCCAAAACCGATTTTAAGAACATCAATACTTTTTATTCATTTAAAAACAAGGTGTCAAAGAGGCGGGAAAACGAGTTCAATAGGAAGGGCGGACGAACCTTACAGTTACCCGTCATACAACAGTTAGTTCACCTACATGCGTACGTACTACTGATAAGTGCCGAAACATATTTTATAAAGGAAAATTACAGTTTTTGATTTTCTTCATTGTTGTACAATGCCCCTATCCTAGCTTTGTAATGGCTATTTATGAGTGGCGACATAAACTAGTTCCGCACACTTCTCTATATTATCTGTCCCCTCAAGGAAGGTTCCTTGATGTTGGTGAGGGGCTCTTGATTTAGGGAATTGGATCTGTGCTCCAGTTCCCCGAATTAAGCCTGAATGCCTTCCACATCCCTCCCCCAGGCGCTGTATAACCCTCCGGGTTTAGCGCTTCCCCCTTGATTATAATAATAATAATATATTATCTGTACACCGTTTTCTTAACTAGTGCATACCCAACTATTTCTGGGTTACCTGGAGGTTATTCCGGGGATCAACGCCCCCGCGGCCCGGTCCATGACCAGGCCTCCCGATGGATCAGGGCCTGATCAACTAGGCTGTTACTGCTGGCCGCACGCAGTCCAACATACGAGCCACAGCCCGGCTGATCCGGCACTGACTTTAGGTATCTGTCCAGCTTTCTCTTGAAGGCAGCCAGGGGTTTATTGGCAATTCCCCTAATGCTTGATGGGAGGCTGTTGAACAGTTTTGGGCCCCGGACACTTATGGTGTTTTCCCTTAGTGTACCAATGGCGCCCCTACTTTTTATTGGGGGCATTTTGCATCGCCTGCCCAGTCTTTTACTTTCGTAGGGAGTGATTTCTGTGTGCAGATTTGGGACCATTCCTTCCAAGATTTTCCAAGTGTAGATTATGATATATCTCTCCATCCTGCGTTCCAACGAGTACAAGTCAAGTGCTTCCAAGCGTTCCCAGTAGTTAAGGTGCTTGACAGAACTTATACGTGCAGTAAAGGATCTCTGTACACACTCTAGATCTGCGATTTCACCTGCTTTGAATGGAGATGTTAATGTACAGCAGTATTCCAGCCTAGAGAGAACAAGTGATTTGAAAAGGATCATCATGGGCTTGGCATCTCTCGTTTTGAAAGTTCTCATTATCCATCCTATCATTTTCTTTGCACGTGCGATCGTGGCACTGTTGTGATCCTTGAAAGTGAGATCCTCAGACATTACTACTCCCAGGTCCCTTACATTATTTTTCCGCTCTATTGTATGGCCGGAGTCAGTAGTATACTCTGTTCTAGTTATTATCTCCTCCAGTTTTCCATAACGGAGTAGCTGGAATTTGTCCTCATTGAACATCATATTGTTTATCGTTGCCCACTGGAAAACTTTGTTTATATCTTCTTGGAGGTTAACCGCGTCCTCAGCAGATGACAGCCTCATGCAGATCCTAGTATCATCCGCAAA